ACAGATTGATAGTACTAGGATATACCAATACACAGATTGATAGTACTAGGATATAGCAATACACAGATTGACAGTATTCATATATAACAATACCCAGAAAATAGTACTCAGATATAGTAATACACAGATTGATAGTACACAGATATAACACTACACAGATTGACAGTACTCGGATATAGCAATACACAGATTGATAGTACTCAGATATAGTAATACACAGATTGACATTACTCATATATAACAATACCAAGAAGAATAGTACTCAGGTATAAAAAAAAAAAGATTGATAATACTCATATATAACAATACACAGATTGACGGTACTCAGATATAACAATACACAGATTGATCGTACTCAGATATAACAATACACATATTGATAGTATTCAGATATAGCAATACACAGATTGAGAGTACATATATCGATATTGATTAACATATTGTTCAGTACTCAAATAGAAAATTACAGATTAACATTATTCAGATAAACAGATTGACAGAACTCGGGTAGGTAGATGTGTAATGACTCCATCTTTAAGATGGATAGTTTTTGACGGATTGACAGTACTCAGATCAAAAGAAATTAACAAATAGAGAATACTCAGATATATAGCAATTTACAGAATCACAGTACGTAGATAGATAGAAATTAACTGATTATCAGCATTCAGATACTTTAGTAGATAGAAAATTACTGATTGTCAGAACTCGATTAAATAGAAAAATTACGATTGACAGCACTCAGAAATTTACTAGATATATTGAAACTACTCTAATTAATAAAAATTAACCGCTTGATGGTATTCAGATACATAGAAAATTACAGATTGACAATACTCTGATATAAATTAACAGATTTCATTTATTAGATCGATTGTTACAAACGGTTTGGGAGTACTTAGATAGAATTTAACTGATTGACAGTACTAAAATCGATAGATATTAACATATTGACAGTACTCTGGTACATAAATATTAACATATTGATAGTACTCTGGTACATAGAAATTAACATATTGACAGTACTCTGGTACATAGATATTAACACATTGACAGTAATCTGGTACATAGATATTAACATATTGACAGTACTCTGGTACATAGATATTAACATAGTGACAGTACCTGGTACATAGATATTAACATATTGACAGTACTAAAATTGATAGATATTAACATATTGACAGTACTAAAATCGATAGATATTAACATATTGGCAGAACTCTGGTACATAGAAATTAACATATTGACAGTACTAAAATTGATAGATATTAACATATTGACAGTACTCTGGTACATAGATATTAACATATTGACAGTATTCTGGTACATAGATATTAACATATTGACAGTAATCTGGTACATAGATATTAACATATTGACAGTACTCTGGTACATAGATATTAACATATTGACAGTACTCTGGTACATAGATATTAACATATTGACAGTACTCTGGTACATAGATATTAACATATTGACAGTACTCTGGTACATAGATATTAACATATTGACAGTACTCTGGTACATAGATATTAACATATTGACAGTACTCTGGTACATAGATATTAACATATTGACAGTACTCTGGTACATAGATATTAACATATTGACAGTACTCTGGTACATAGATATTAACATATTGACAGTACTAAAATTCATAGATATTAACATATTGACAGTACTCTGGTACAAATGGTGCTGCTTTCGTTTTGATATGTGACATGACACTTACAATTGGTTTCCTAATAGTCGTGTTAGGGGAAACCCCGTACAGGTAGAAGGTCATAAGTAAACAACATACGAGGAAGTGAGCAATCGAAAACGAAAAATGAAACTATTTTATTAACGTACGTATGTTAGAATGACAAATGACTCTTAATCATTGTACACAATACACAAGAAATGACTGTTGAACTATTATTAGTGACTTTGTCCGTACATTACCTAAACTATAAGATGAATCATCCAAATTATCGTGTGGCAGATTATAACAGGTTTTAAGGTCACCTGAGATTTCTCAAGTGACGTAATGCGATCGCCTTGTGTCCGTCGTCGTTCGTCGTCCGTCGTGCGTCCATAATCAATTTACATTTTCAACTTTTTCTCCAAAACCCCTGAACTAATTTCAATGATTTTTTTAGAAACCTTCCATGGCCAAAGATCAACCAAATTTGTGAATTATATGGTCCCCAGCCCCAAAGGGGCCTGAGGGGCGGTTCCAAAAACATTCGAATTGATTAAAATTTCAAATATCTTCTTCTCAAGATCCAGTTATGGTAGAATCAAATACTCTTCCTAGATAGAAGGGTCTTAAGGTGCTTTACCAAATTTGTGAATTTCATGACCCTGGGGTCTCACGTTTCCCCCTGGGGAGGGGGTAAACTTTATTATAGTTTATATAGGGAAATCAAATTTTGGACCAACATTTGTTTAATTTCCATTGAAAGTAATTCAATTTGGGTAAGCATTATAAGTATTTGATAGCAGTTTGATGGTATGCACATATCAGCCCTGATTGACCCCCAGGGGCTGATGGGTGGGGCCAAAACTGGTCAAATTGACTGAAATTTCAAAATCTTCTTCTCACGATCCAGATATGGTAGAATCAAATACTCTTCATAGATGGAAGGGTTTTAAGGTGCGCTACCAAAATTGTGAATTTTTAACCCCATGGTCTCACGTTTACCCCTGGGGAAGGGGGGGGGGTGGCAAAATTTATTATGGTATATATTGGCAAATGATACTTTAGATATTACATGTTGATAACTTGATTGGAATTATAACCCTGAGTTGACAATTTGATACTTTGAACATTTTGAACCAGCCCTACCCCCAAGGGCTGTAGGGCGGGGCCCAAAGGAGTCAGTGTGCTAAAATTTTTCATTTTCTTTGTTTAGAATCAGAGGTACTAGTTTCAAATACTTTTCAGTCTTAAATCTGTATGATAGATATTGAATAAGGTGGTTTTATTGTTTTTTTGTCACTTTGAATAATAATTCTGTTCATGTTTTAAACCAAAATCAACCCCCTGTATAAACATATCAGAAATCAGGTGACCGTTAAGGCCCATGGGCTTCTTGTTTTAAATTGAAATAGTCCGTTGGTGATATTTGAAACAGTATCAGATTGTTTTTCATAATGATGGAGGTACAATGTATCAGATTGATGTTTCGATAAGTTGATGAAGCTGTTGAACTGTTTTCTACTGCACATGTATTGTGACCCAGTTATATTAAGATTTGTTAGCTTAATGAAGAGTTCTGCAAACGTTTCGTGAAGGGTCAATACTTTGTATTAAAATACTTGATAATTTACTCTAGATAGTCCTCGGTTAAATTGTAGAAGGATGCAGAGGTCGACAAGCAATGATCTGCAAGTATGTGGTAGACATTCAACGTTACCGAGGGGTAGCTAACCTGCTTCTAACCCATATCTGTCACGGGTATGTCCGTTCCGAGCCAGTGTGCGCATGGTTTCAGAGCGTTCAAGCTAACAACAGATATATGATTGACCAGCTGTATAACTTCTTCCGGGGACTTACGGCCATCTTAGAGGGCAGTAATGAAATAGACACATTGACGAAGGAACAACTTTTTCAGTATCTCGGATCACAATCATCGACAAAGTTGCCATTTTTCTTGTATATTGATATATTAATGCAGCCCCTTGAATACAAACTGTCCACTATTAACGCTTTTGTTAAGGAAGGTCATTCCGAACGAATGTCATTCATGGAACGAGTAGATATTCAGGAAATTAGAGTGTTGTCTATTGAAAATTTAATCCAGGTTTTGTCGGAGTTGGATACAAATTTTAACATTTCATTCAATGAGATACACGAAGAGAGAAATATGGCGTAGTTTTCAGTTTTCAGCCAACGTATCATTGTCCGATATTGATTATAACCCACCCCACTCTGAATACGCCGAAACGTATCCTGGTTATCTACATATCCGAGAAGTACCCACGGACATAGGAGATAATGATGCGAAAGATAAACGATGCCCCGCGCGGAATGACACCAAGTGGCTACCATATAGAGACAGGGGGTCGTAATCAAACAAATTTCGAGGAAGTGAGCAATCGAAAACGAAACATAACAAAACTATAGTTATCAATGTACGTATAAACACACTCATGCCCATCGGCTGTTAGAATGACTCTATAGCATTGTACTCGGGCACAATACACATGAAATGACTGTTGAACTATTATAAACTACTTTGTCCGTACACATCCAAAAATATCGTGTGGCAGATTAGTGCAGTCTTTTTTAATAAACCGGTGGTGATTATTTGAATGATATAAGGACGTTTTTTTATCAGATTAATGAACTGTTTTCTAAATCGCCTGTATTATGACCCAGTTTTATCAAGATAAATAATTCTGTAAAAGGTTCGTGCATCAAATTATATTGATAACAAAACAATTAAATCTAACTTTAAACAAAACTGTAATAATTTGTATTATAGTCTGTCATGATTGACACGGATTCTCAGTTTGATGACGTCATTGTTAGGAGTTAATCTTGATTTACATAGCGGATGGATACCGCAAGGTATATTTCTTTGTAAATTTGAAAATACTTCAGGTTTTATTTTTGTTGCTCGCTTTAATATCTCAATGTACTTAAAGGCAAGATAGCGTGGTATACACTTACTTTTTTTTTTAACCGACTTGCTCAATTTGTATAAAATCTATTTTATTCTTATACGTTGTAGTAGGTTTTTCAGCATGTATGACTAATGTACACATACCTACCGAACAGAGGAACTGACGATATCATATAAGTCAAGGAGAATGGTAATTAAATATTTCCACCGATATGATGACCTTGTTACACAAAAGCCAAAAATAAAACGAATACACATGAGTTATTTTTGAATCCAATTAACATGATTTCCGAGAAATCATGGCGGCCTGTCTGCAGATCGGTTTTTCAAGAAATGCTGACGTATAAAAGGCGATCTCCATAGGTTTATGTTTATATTTCTCGTCTAGGGTGTTTAAACACCAGTTCAGAACTGAAGCCAAGGTAAGTAGGGCTTTATTTCATATAAAATGTTTCATGATTGTGAAACTGTTATATAACAAAATAGATTGATGACATCTAAAATGTTTAGATAACTTTGACAGTTATCAATTTTTACTAATATATAAGAATAGACAAAGTAACTGTTAGCATGTGCTCTTCTCAAAATTTTACAAAAAATAAATTTTATAATTAACTTAAAAAGAGGCATTTTGGCTGGTTTTGTTTCTTTTGGAACAGTTTTTTATTTGCATTTACAAGATACAATACACATTACAAGGACACAACTTACACTCACACTACCTTACTTCTTGGAATGAAGATTCTTTATATAAATGAACAAGTGGTTCTCTGTTATGTAATACAAGATAATATAGTATTCAGCTGCACCTCACCATCTCAAAATCGAACGATTCACTCGCAGAAAGGTTTTCATGCCTGAACATTTAGAATAGTTAGACAACAAAATGAGCCTTAACTTTTAGTTTAGAATTATTTTAAGTCGTCCGAGATAAAAAAATAAATAAATTGAGGTCTGACTAACATTTATGCGGGAATTTAGACAACGTTAGCATGAACTGATTAAGTATACAGGTTACTAGATTTCTATCACTAAAATTGATAGTAGTCTCCATCTTTGATGGAATGCCACCAGTTTACCATTGCATGTAGATATATATTTTTCAGTATTATAGTAATTCCTAATATCTTTCTTAACACTTTCTATACATGACATGTCACCTTTCACACGCTGTTTGTAAATGTAATGCTTAACGATCAACACAATTAGATTTTGGCCTTGATATTGTTTACCATGTTTACCAAAAATAATCTCTTGTTTCGTAAAGTTAATAAACCACCTGTTTTGGTTTAAACAATATTTTATTTACAAGTATGCTGTACATAATATATAATTTTACATAATGTAATATTAGGGATCTGGCAACAAGAGTAGGCTCTTATATTAAGCCATCTCCCAACAATGAGAAGATTGCAGTATAACACAGGTTAATTAACATCAATAATTATATAAATTCAACTGATTTAGCTAATTTAACAATCAAGGTCGACCATTTGAAATAATAGGTAATAAGATTGGCAGTAGAGAATAATGTTAATATTTACTTTAGAGTATAGGGACTAGAGATGTAGGGTAATAGTTGGAAAGGGGGGGGGAGGGGGGAGAGCGGGGATTTGATGATGATGAAGTGAAATGGAATTGAAACCTATGCAGTCACCCAAATCTACCTGTTCCAATGATATACCTATGCACCTGATTAAAAATTTCTGTATCATCATTGCAAGACAAGTTTGGATCACCATGTAATAACTTTCCGATGTCCACGATTACCCCTAACTTAGCTATGGTTTCGGCCCGAATTGTGTTCCTACAGTCAATGAGAAAGTGAGAAGTGGTTTTAATGCAACCATGGTTTCTGAAACATGATTAATATATAAATGATGGGTTAATGAGCTGCATTCGAGTCGAAGCCTTGTATGAAGTACCTGGACACGCCGTTTGCCGAAGTAGTAGTAATCGGGTATCTTAGACGTATTCCTACTAAGGTAACGGAGAAAAGAAGATTTAATTGGGTTGTTCCTAACATGTTCAGGTATCAAATTTTTATTCACGGATGGCTGAAGGAAAGAAAGAAGACATATAAATATTGGTTCTGCTATATGGAGGGTGCATATTCAAATTTGATCTTAAATTGTAACCTTTAGTGGAGCCGGTGGATGGGGGTAGGTGATTTCGTAAGTAAGAGGGAGCAAGTCCATTGACTATATTGTACATAGCTTGCATCCTATGTTTATATTTCCTGTAGGACAATGATTCCCATTGGGTTTCATTAACAAGGGATTGTGAAGATGCGGACTTGGTTGCACCTGTCACAGTACGAGCTGCTTCAGTTTGTATCTTTTCTAGATCAAGAATCTGCTGTTGGTTGCAGTCCCCCAGACAATATCCGCATATTCTAGGATAGGCCTAATATAAGAAAAGAACATAGTTTCTAAAGATTTCCGATCTAGTTGGAATTTCAATGATCTCAATATATCAATTCTTTTCCATGCTTTCCTAAGTATGTTGTCAATATGTAAATTCCAAGAGCAGCTCTCTTCAATGGTTAACCCAAGATGTATGTGACTACTGACTTGTACTATTTGTGTATTATTCATTATTAATGGAGGATGATCGACTTTGACACGTTTCCTAGATAGAATCATACTTTTAGTTTTATTTTAACCACATGTTTTCAAAAATATCTAATTTTCAAGGAGGTTCCATAATCTTTCAACAAGTTCACATTCACAAAAACATATGTAAAATAGTTTCCTCTGTATGATTACAGAAAGTACAGAGGGAATTGTCCAAAGCATTGATTTTTGTTAATAAACTATTAGTTGCCAGTATCCTATGTGTAATTCTGTAACATCTTTTGTTCTGTAAAGAACAACATTTTGTAACTTTTTCAAGTCTATAACGTCTAAGTTGAGTATGTTTGACCATTTGTCAATATCTAGTTGTATAGCTAATGTTTGAAATAAAAATTTCATACATGTCTCTACAACCTCTAATATATATATGCTTTCAGCTGTGGACTTGAACGTATGCATCGTGCCTTGCGCCTATGAAGATGAAGTTTGTTTACTCATTGCTGCTGCTTATGCTAGTTGCAGTGTGGGCTCATCCTGGTAAGTGTTAGTAGGAGGTATGTCAGGGTCGTAACGATTAAGAGTTAGCACTGTTATGGTCCTTGTATCATCTATGGACAAGTCGTCTACAGTGCCAACATAATAAACGATATCAAACGAGTTAATGTCACGGTAATCAATTACCCTTCTCACTAAAGGAATATACCAGGCTTCCCTTTAATTGTGATGATTTGAAATAGTTGGGTCGCTACTACAGAACTCTTCCTTTAAATCACAAAAGTTGTCCTGTTGACGAATAAGTTAAGTAGTCATGGTCTTCTACCAGATCAGTTTCAATCTACACTTCAATATTTACGATCGTAGTCATGATTTGATATTCTGTTTTGAAATATTACTGTCAATCATACATAAAAAGACGTATTCATTATGTCTCGGATATTTCATGACCGATATATACATACTCCCCAACATTATACTGGTAATTTATCATGATGAGAGCATGGCATTTTGCCCTCCCGGAGCACTTTGCTTCGCCTCCATTTTATTCTGGGACTTCATGATGACATTCCGGGGCCGTTTCTTTTCATGTCTCGTTCGTTCCTATTTTGACCTTTTATATCGAGTTTGCATTCCATTCTTGTTTCTTTGTGTTTCAATCGTTAATCATATTAATTAAAAGTAGCACTGTAAATACTTGCACTTTACATCAGAAAGCGAGCAAACTTGAGAATAAGGAACTTTTTCATAAACTTCTTAATTGAATAAGTTGTTTGGATAAGTGTTTCATACAAATACTTTGATCAACAAGTTTTCCTCTTTTATTGTTATAGATTACAGCGAGTCTGATGATGATGACGGTAGAAGTGTCACAACGGTTCAGAAAGCAAGATTAATGACAGGAGACATATCACGAAGTAAGCATGCTTCTTTTGCTTTGAATATTTGCTATTGAATAAACCATAGCTATAAACAGTTGGTAATAAGGAAATTAAGAAAGGTGAGTAACAGTGGGGTATAAAAAGAAGATATCCTTAAAAAATCAGAAATGTGAGTAAAAGTGAAATTTACTTTCTGTTAGGTTTAATCAATAACAATAATAGTAAGATCTCTGGAAAGTATCTCTCAGCGGAATTCTGGATAAGTAAGTAGGCAAAAATGGAGTCTAATAGAAATAGGTTTGGTCAGGGCTACTCAAAGTGAGTAAATAGTGTGAAGTCTAAGAATAGTAATTTGTGATGAAGACATTTTTATTTTTAGAAGAGTTAATATTTTATAACCTTTAAAACATGTACATGGGAATACAGTTTTATGACTATTAGACAAATTTTCACGCTTTTACAATCCCATTTACATTGGCAAAAATATGTAACCGACTTCCCAGTATCGTTAACAGTGAGCAATATTGATCTTCAGTGGTGCTAGAATGGCAAGCAAGGATAGCCTAAGCCTATAACATTAAAAACTTTCCGTCACTTGTTGCCGTAAAGTGTCAACCAGGTGTTGGCCAAACCGTGTTCTATATAGGTTAACCATTGAAACATATTTGTATTATCTTTCTTATTGAATACACCTTTTCAAAAGAAATTCTGCATGCCCTTCCCTTTATACACTTGTACGTTAGTTATATTTCTTTATAGTTAGCCTATTGCTGAGGACAATGATAAGTAGTACTAAAGTACATTCCTGCGTTTATATGGTTTATCATAGGATCGGCCTGTTGACAAGGACACATTATATATGCACGGGTATTCCGGTTTATTGTAAATTTATGTCTTATCAAATACAGGAACATTATCTAATGCTTAAAAATGATAAAAACGTTCTTCTTTTTTTAGATAACAGCAATGAGAATCGAAAGGTCACAAAAGTTCGAAGAAAGAGAGGAATTTTCGGTGTGGCGTTCCGCGCAACAGCAACAGCAGCGAAAACATGTAAGCGACAGTTGTAATACCATTTTATAATCAAAATAGATACATACTGAAACGTCTCATATTGATATTTTGAACATCAAATAGTCTAAAGGTGTTTGTACTGAACATTGATTTGTCATGGTAAGAATAATCTAAAAAAGAAGTATTCGCGGCAAATGTTTACAATGTATCTATATATTACTGAAAAATTTGACCTATCTAAGGGATTGATAATTTTCTATAATGACAATATTCAGGATTGAGTATATGATTGGTTAACTATCTCATGGATTGTTCATCCCACGGATCACATATAACTTGGGTTAACTGATCTAATAGAATGAATTTTCTGATGGTATAACAAATTGATTAATAGCTTTATGAATACACATTTTGAATTTTTGATTTCCTCAGGTATTGATCAAATCTTAAAATGCAAAAAAATAGATCATAATAGAACGTTTTATTCGTTATCACCATCGTCTGTTATTTATTACCAGGATTACTCTTTGAAAGGAACTTTCATGCGTCCACAAAATTATTTTGTTATCATTATGAAAAATAATGCCTCATTAAAATACACACTAAAATATCTGCGGCATTTTTATTAGGTTTTTATTATGATTATTTCCAAAGTCTTATTTCTGGTGTGTATTTGACCAGATAGGTTTATTCGTGTGTATCTGTCTATAAAATAATTAATCTTACTCTGAAATGAACAGTAAGCACATAGGTTAATAACTTTAAATGTACACAATCGAATGAAACCAACATATATTATTAGATATCATCATGACAATTATCTGAAAATACCGTTTATCGTTTTATATCAGTTTGACTATGATATTTTAGGGGTAATTTCACCAATATTAAACATCTTTGATAATGAAAATAATGATTTTACTTCTACTTACAATTGTGAAATATTGCTGAACGTCAGCGGAAATCATATTGAAAAATGATATGTAAAGACACAAGAAGGAAATGTAGCTGACGAAAATATAACACTCTTATCAGAAATATTTGTACTTTATTCAGTTTGCTTTATTTGTAATAGCTATTTTATGAACTCTTTTAAACAGTCATTAAAGCACTCATAAAGAACGTGCCGAGAGCTGTGTCTTCATTTTCGAAGATCGTCGGGAAGGTTGGGAAAGCAATGGAGTATGTAGAGGTGGGAATCACAGTTGTTCAAGCTATATCAGGTATGTCAATAGCAGAGTGAACATGTAGTATAAGGTTAAAATGTATACTGTTTACCATTGATTCTAGTTTTATTATTTCACAATGTTGCATCTAAAGGTATTTCACGATTAATTATTTTCATTACATCAGAAGTAACATACAATATTCCCTGATCGTGCCGAAATGACTAGCATGATCTTATGCAATACTCTAAATTATGTTCTTAAGTGTCATGGTATTCTGGATAAATATACTTATACCTCTGGCGCTGTGTTCACATACACTAAAGTTACGTGACGTTATAATGCCCTGTTTTCAATTGTTCACAGTCTCTCATATTGATTGTGAGCTAAATCTCTCCTATATGAGAGTGAAAAATAATGATGATATAATAAAAGAAACTAAATAAATTTTTCTCCCCAATAACATTAGGGCATTGATTTGAATACGTTATAGTTATAGCCCATTCACTTCTTCATACATTCTTTACTTTCGGTCCTCTTAAATACAAAATGTATGTAAATATGTTGTTAATATTTGGTAATAATTAAAACACTTAAGGATGTACTCTTCTGAGAAGAAAACAATTTTACGCAATTTTTGAAAAATGAGTTAGTGGCATAGTAGAAAAAAACAAAACGAATTGCATGTCCGTGTTGATAAACAACTCCTGTTAACGGGGGAGGGGGCAAGATCTACACCCTGCCTGTAACCTATTCGGTAAAGTGTATACGCTCTCTATCGATAGGCGAAACGTCCCGGGTCGAGTGCCATAAATAACATACAATTTCATCACATCGTATACAAATCGCTCACTCAGTCATAGCTTGACAAAAGTAACCAGTCGGTTTTGAAACGTTGCGACACGTTTAATACATACCAAGTAAAACTTTGATATAAAATGTCCAAAGGGATCTAATTGAAAATATAAGAAACACACATTTTCAAAATGGAGGCCGAATTGGTCATTTGTTTTTAATTCATAGTTTTTTTTCCAGATGGGTGGTTGATCATAACTTGTTATATATTACAAAAACACGTTTCACAAGAACAAAACGAGACTTGAACGTGATTTAAAACTCAGAAGAGTACATCCTTAAAACTAGTAATACTTACAGTATTGGTGACCTGCATAATCTACTGAATTCGATAGGAGACATTATGACGGTTGCCCACATATGGTACAGGAAACTCTTGCGTTTTTGCTTTCTGCAAATTTTGTTTCAGCACTTTACTCTGTTTATTTTCCGCTCTTTGAGAATTTTGTTTCTCGATATGGCATGATGATAAATCATTTCTAAAAGAAAACCAATCAAAATATTTAAAAAAATAAATGCAACAATGTTCAATGTATACAATTGCAATAAGACCAGAATTCGAACCATTGACTTCAGATCATTATAAATTTACTATCGCTCTTACCACCTGAGCTACCTATAGCTAGTCAAAGGAAACACATTAGCTACATGTACGTCGTGCTACTGTTATATCCAAAATGAAATTAATGAAAGATTCCTATAAGTAAAACTATATAGAAATTCTTTAGTATTTTGCCTGCAGTAGTACAGGTATTCTTAAAATCAAAGATTCATACATTCAGGCGGAATAAACGTTTTATTATTTTGCCTCTTAATTCACAGAATGTCCAGCGGTGAATATTTGCCCATTGAAAGAAGAGCTAAAGACAATCCAGGACCACATATATGAAGCATTGAAGACACTGAACCAGACTCACACTAGACTTAGGAAGTGCACTGTTAAGGCGAACCGAGTGTATCATTCAACACAGTTGATACTTTCACACATCAAGCATATTACTCAATCGCTTGTCTATATCACCGAAATTTCAGAACTGCGTTATTTGGAAAGCATGGATTTTGTATGCGCTAAAGAAAATGATACAATGATCAAGGAATGCTTAGAGGAAAAAATCAATGACATTGAGTTTGTTTACTCACGAATGGCAAAACGTTTAAATGACATTAAACATAACAATATGATGCAAGCAGTAATTTCATTTGTTGTCCAAAAGACGATATCAGTGATAATAGGAAATATTGGTAATTTATCCAAGAAAAAGTATGATTTTCTTGTTTATAAATTTGGCAAGCCGAAAAGCAAATTCAAGAAATTTAAAATGATTACCAAAGCTATCATTTCCGGTCAAAAAGGGAGAGGCAAAAAGGCATTGACTTCGGTACAAAATGCTGTGTTATACCCCGTTAAAACACTAAAAAACAAGTTAGGAAGAGTATCCCATAAAATGAGATCGCTAAAACGTAGAGTAGTTAACAAATTTGTTCATCCGAGACAGGGATACAAACGTCTTTGGAATAACATAAACCCAAGAAAGTTTTCTGTTAGTTCGGTAATCGGAGGATTCGCAAAAGGCTCATTTTCTAGTATTATATCTGCAGTCTCGATTTATTTGGAGCAAAAGAAATATGTAGAGCTAGAGGATGATTTGAGAGTGTTTATTCATGACTATCAGAATAATTTAAAACAATTAAATGAAACTATTGCTGAGGGAATCGAATCAGAAACAAACTGTACACAATACTTTGATTATTCTATCGGCCTGTTTATAAACGAATCAAGAACTGTTGTTGAAACACTTGAGTTGTTTGACCACATGATACCCAACACAACGGCATTAGAAGAAATAGATCTCACACAATTTGAAATCAAAACAGCATTATACCGAAATGTTTCTGCTATCTTACTTGGTAACGTTGACAAGGGTAACATACATCTAAAACAAAATGAACTATTACATATCTTAGAAAACGACTTTTTTAACATGACTGAAATGAAGTCTTGGGTTCATACAGAAAATACTTTATTTGACGTTGTACAGGAAGGAATCCACGACAGCAGTGTCAGCATATTGCGCATGTGCTATAAGCTCAAGTATGTAGGTTTACACACCACTGGAAGAGGAGTTAACTGGCCAATACAGGACGTTCTCTGTCATCTGGCTCTATTCCATCCCAGCCACAAGGAGTTTGATTACTACAATATGGAAAACATCAGTGACTACTGCAGACGAACGCCAGACAGTTTTCCTCTGAACACTGTTCTGTTAGACAGAAAAAATACTTTGGTGCAAGAAACAATACGACGTAATGTTGAAAGCAGCGAGGACGAGGATACGGCAAAACTATCTGACGAAATATCCCGAGATCTCGGATTTGACGAATACATGAAACTCCTGGGTAAATTTCCAGACGAGAAAGAGGTGTTGTGTAACATTGCCGAGATGTTTCCCCAAAGGTTCAAGTACGCTTTCTATGACTTGGCAGACTTCAGACCAAGATCGACTTGTAGTCTTTTAACAACCGAAAAATTCGAACAACTCCAACTCGATGCAATAGAGACGAGGAATGAAATGAAAAGATATCAAATACTTCTGAGTCCAGATATTTTCAATACATATCTTAATAAAACAATACGCAAAGGCTTAAAGGATAACGTTCCCATCAGTTCCATCTTCCAAGATATCCGTCGGTCCTTAACTGTAGCCGATGTTAGGAGAAATGACAACTGGCCATTTAAGGAGATCCTCTGTGCTCTTGGATCTGTAGCCCCTTTGGAAATGTACGTGTATGATCATTACCCTGTTGACGTCATAAGAAACCAGTGCCAGTCAGGTACGCTACTAACCTCTCAGCTTCAGGACATACTTTTAAAAAGGAAAGAGAATTTACTTGAACTCAATATAAGACGTTATGTAGACTTTGAGGAAGAAGAAAACCCAGAAGCAATGGTTAAAGAATTTTCTAATCTGCTGATGTCAGATTTGATTATGGAGTCCCTGGATATCAGCCCTACGGAACACGAGATGATATGCATGGTGGCCGATCTGTATCCTGGCAAGAAGGAGTACGGGATGTACAGGCTTAACCAGTTCAGACCGATGGAGGTTTGTGAACAGATAACTGAACAGGGATTTCAAATTCTGACAGATGAAAGGGAGAGACGCAAATGGGAGGCAATGCTTTCCAAGTATTGTTCCGATTCTGATGAACCTTGCTTTCCAATGACCCGCAAAACATCAGAAGATGGACCCCCCGCACAGCACTATTTTTCTCAGTCAGGGACATGGTCCTGCCATGCGACAAGGAATGTGTTCATCGTCATGGCCTTGTTCGCTTTGCAGTGTATAATGGAATGGATAAGCGTACATTTCTGAGGTTTTTGTGATTGGTTTTGCATTAGCTAACTGCGTCTTTCAAACATGGCCTGCATACAATGGGTGTAATACAACTTGAGCATGTTGAAGTGTAAATATAGTGTTGTATTCTGTTTATTTCTACCTAAATATCTGGGTTATTAAATATGCCTGGAAATATTTGGGATAAATATTAATAAAGAGTGTGAGCAAACCAATAATGTTTTATTGGTTTTTAATGGCAGGGAGAATACAGTGTGTAAAGCATTTTTACGTCATCATTGGTAGAATTACTATAAATATCTTGGAGATTGTTATCAATGAAATATATCAACATTTGTTAATCAATTAATTAACATTGGATTAAATGGAGGGACATTGTTACGATTTGTCCATTTAATGAATAACACAGATATTTTTATACGATAGAGAGGGTGTCTCCGAGGATAAGGATAATGATGCTTCTCATACCAACCCTTTCCTCGGAACTCTCACTAGATTTAACAAGGTTTAATCTTACATTTTTTCATCATTGCCTCTTTGTTTAAATAACAATAAATATGTACGTATCTTGTATCTAATATGTTTGCTGATTTTTGTATTAATTATTCAACAGACTTTATTAACACTTATAAATTAGGGCTATTCAATACTGTCAGTGCCTGGAAATATTTGGGATAATATTAATAAAGTGTGTGAGCAAACCAATGATGTTTTATTGGTTTTTAATGGCAGGGAGAATACAGTGTTTAAAGCATTTTTACGTCATCATTGGTAGAATTACTATATGTATTTATCCACTGACAAGATATCATTTGGAACAGCAACTTTATGAGATACATCATTTTTTAATAAGATATGTGATTGAGTTCTAAGTTCAAAGTCATTAATCAGTCAATCATTTATAAGTCAATCTTTCTCAGTGAATCATTTATCAGTCAATCATTTATTAGTCAATCTTTATCAGGGAATCATATATCAGTCAAACATTAAATTACCAACATTAATTATCGAACATTAATCAATCAATCATTTAACAAAGTGAAGATAATGAGGCATGACAAGCTGACTTTGCATAAAAAGAACCAATCATTTTTTTTTCAAAGAGATCTTATATTGAGACATCCCCTGTCCAAAGTATATACTTGCTGAGTAAGAATTGAAGACTGATGACGCACAAACATTGTATGATTGACCTTCTGTTAACAAGGGTAAAGAAAGAACATTTTTCTTGCAGTGATTGATGGTTCTTTACTTGTAGTCAACTTGAAGATAATATGAAAGTAAAGAAAGTAAATGTATAGGGTAACAGTTGTCATTGTTTAATTTTTTTTAAAACATTTGTTACCCAGTGTGTAATGTTTGTTTTTATCTATGTATATATTTGTAGTAGATATCAATAATTGAACTCATTTCCTATGAAAGTTCGGGGAAAGAACAACCTTGATAACATGATTATATCACATTACTGCATGTATGTATTTTATTTACTGTACTTATCATCATATTAAAATTTCATATTTTTTTCAAATGTTGTCCATATTATTCCTAAACAGCTTTATAAGCCAACCAAAATATTACTCTTTTGTCAGCTCAAAGTGACAGGTGAGCTTAGTACAAATATTAGTCAACATGAACACTGACAGATCCTCCCCCTACCACACCTACCTCCACCCCTTGTACCGTTTTAGTGCCAGTTCCCTTGACATTGACCTTCAAATATTTTAAACCCGGTTGCACATCGACGTATCACAGTTCATCACCATGTCAAAATTCAAAAGGATTAGTCTTTTAGAATTTCAGATAAATTATCCGAAAACAAAAGTGTGGCTGGCCTCCATGTGGGGCCCCTTAAATAAAAAAATGATTGGGAAGCAGGCAATGTCTATGTAAGCCGTCTCCGAGTAACACATAGTGCTATCAAATTGCTTTGACCACCTCTCAATGTCATTTGGATCAAATGGTTTAAATTGATGTTGAAAGTGAGTCAAGATTAGTTATCTAAATTTCTTAGAAATTATCAATTTAAATACATTTCAATAAATTTGATGATAGAAATTTGATACAACTGAAACCACATAAGGGAGACCTACCTCAAAAATGACACAACTGACAGGGATAGAATTTAAAATAAAACGTTGCACAGATCCCACTAAATTGTTTAATTAAACATAGATAGATATCACACACACTTATACATAATTACGTACTTAAGGCTGTATGCTATCTTAGTGTGACAGTCATATACTTTACAAAAGAGTTCCGGACAGGACACATTTAAAAGACAAACAATAATGTAGGCAATGATGATTTTTCTAATTACAAAATTAAAGGAATACAATTCTAATACAAATCAGAGGTAGAATCTAGAAGGTAGCATATGTCCTTAATTCGTACACAAACGACTAATTACAAGTATAAGATGTAATATAACATGTATCCTTAACTCTTACACATATCACAGGTATATTGTGTTCGATAGCATTATATCTTAACTCTAACAGAAAATGAGGACTTCTTTGTGGAAACCAAAGTGTCAAAAGGGAATGTTTGAGTTTTGGTGAACCCGACGCCGGCTGTTGGTCTTTTTACAATTTATTGGTAGTTTTGCTTCTGACATCCGTCCGCCATTACGCGCATGTGCACTTTCCCCACCTTACTTTAAGGGCTTAAAGGGGCAGATCCAGACATTTTCAGAGGGATGTCACCATTCCAGATTTCCGGTTTATTTTGCGACGAATGCGATCTGAACGATATTTAATGTTGCGCAAAATTAAGTTATATACCGGTCTCTGCCCTAACCTTTTCAAGGTTCTATATTTTAATCTTTCTTGATTTGTTTTCTTCTTTTGTTTATTAGTTAAATGCCCGAGTGGAATGAATAATTAATATATATATATTAATTTTGATAATTTATTTATCTAAATTTTCTTAAGAAAATACTTTTCCCTTCATCCTAGACAATATTATTATATCTGAACAAGACATTAACGATCAACTGTTTCTACTTAATGATGAAAAAAACCTCCTGGCCCAGATGGCATGATACCCAAGATAATAAAGAAATTAGCACCTTCTCTAATATGTCCTCTAACCTTACTTTGTGATAAGACCATTGAATTTGGTATTATACCTCTTTCTAGGAAAACAGCTAATAGTAATGCAATATACAAAGGTAAGGGTGCTCAAAATGATGTCTCTAACTATAGGCCAACTATTATATCATATCAATTTATAGCATCATAGGTTAGCATAATTGTTGAAAACTTTTAAATATATGTTTAAATATATGTAAGAATGTGATATCATAACGAAACACCAATCAGACATTTTACCAAGAGACTCAACAGTAAACCAGTTATTATATCTATATATGACACTATTGTAAATAACTTGGATCAAAATAATGAAATCAGATTTGTATTTTGGGTTGTTAGTAAGGCGTTTGATAGATTTTGGCAGGAGGGTGTACTTTTTAAATTGGACTCCTATGACATAAAAGGGATAACATTGCAATGGTTTAGTAATTATCTTTCTGATAGAAAACACAGAGTATCAACAGAGGGGTTTTATTCAACTTTTAAGCAAGTCAAAGCCGATGTACTTCAAGGCTCGGTCCTCGATCCGTTTCTTTTTTTAATCTATATTAATGATATAACAGAGTGTGTAACAAGTAAAATAAAACTTTTTTCGGATGCTACTTCTCCCTATGAAGTAATAGACAACAATTAAAATGAAATTGCAGTGAACTTAACCAATGATATAGGTTCTATTAATGCATGGGCAAAAAAATGGGATATCAAATTTAATTCACTGAAAACTGAATCTGTAATTTTCTCAAGGAAAAGGGGACCAAATCATCAAGATATTTTATTTGGTAATGAAACTGTAACTAAAATGGACATATCATATTAACAATATTTATGAGCTAGCCTATACAAGAATGAATATATCGAGAATGTTAAAACAGTGGATAGAAAATGTCTTACAACAATATATACCTCTTTTACGAAACCAATACTTGAATATGGGGATGTAGTATGTGACACCTGTAGTAACCAAAATAAAAATATTCTAGAATCAATCCAGCTAGAGGCACATGAATGCATAGAGGAACCTCACATAGTAAGTTCTATGCAGAAACTGGACTGAAGCACTTTCTTGTAGGCGAAAAAGTCATTAACTTGTACTTATGTTCTAAATTTTAAATAATAAATCGCCTAAGTACTTAGAAGACATCATTGAACCATACCATTATAACAATATAAATATAAGATATCCACTAAGAAATAGCCGTATTTTTAATCCCCCATTTTGTAGAACTGAGAATTGTTTCAATAGTTTTTTTTCTCATTGTGTAGTGAATTTAACCGTCTATCTGCTTAAACTTTTAAATGCTACCTCCATACAACAATTTAATCATCAAGTCTGATAATGTAAACAACAAAAAAGAAATTGCTAGCACATTAAATATTATGGGACGAGAACATTTAATATCATAACTTGTCAGCTTAGAATTCATGCTAGCAACCTAAATAGTGACTTGTATATGGATCATCTGAATGACACACCAGCATGTCGATGTGGACATGAACATGAACATGCATTTCATTTTATATTTGAATGCCCACTTTATAATAACATTAGAATGCGATAAGTACAAAACATTTCTTAATTTGGTATAACTGATAACCATGATCATTTTAATCTGAAAACTCTATTAAATGGGTGCATAATATGCTGCACTGATACCAACAAAATACATTTACAAAACATATCTGACTATAGACTTGATATGTAATCTCAATCACAATCACACTTTACATTGAAGTGATGCTAATATGTATAGTGTCACTCTGCTGATAGATATTGATACTGGTGTATATCTATCTTCACAACATCTCTGATATTTGACTTGACCGGATGTAATTTATAATTACTACTGTTAACCCTGTTCTAGTCATTTTATAGTTACATTATAATTATATAGTGATTTGTTAGCTAACTTACAGAATCAACTCCAATAATAGATAATGATAACTACATTTCCCATATGAAACCATATCATATTCTCAATTTTTTTTACAAAATGTGTATTTCTTGGTAACTTATCCTATATGTCCAGTTGGTGGATGGCCAATGTGTTTATATATACACAGGGACTTTTGGGCCAGTATCCCTTGGATTTTATGTAGGATGGGTTGTCAACAAATATACTGGATTGATTTTAGTTGTTAATTTCCAAAACATAAACAGGAATGGATTTAATAATAATTGATTTTTTTTTTAAGTTTATAAGCTAAATTGTAGTTAGCTCCCCTACACTGTTTATTTGGATTGTTATGACAGAATAAATGTAATGTTTGTAAATAAGTTTGGAAAGGACTTAAATAGGTCTAGCCTGATGTCCAATCCAATTGACATATATAAAGTTAATAAAATCTGTTGAAATTGAATATAAAGCAAATTATTCAAAGTATTTTCTGTTGTACATTAAATCACTTATTCTAAGTTAACCTCGTGTATGGCTGGTGTACTGTAATTAAATCTGTATGATGATGAACGTTAGACCAATAGATGTTCCCTCCACTACCCTGTTTATGTAATGTTAAATCAGAAATCATATCATTCGTATACGATTGACTGGAATATAAATAAAGTAAATGTATTTATAAAAAAGTTCATTGAAAGTATGGCATGCCTATCTTTTTGTTTCTGCAACAAACTGAAAGCTACGACCTGAATACGTGTCGTTGATATACAATAAGCACGACCTCAGATAATGAGAGTCGTACTGAAATCAAATCAGCAGGGTTTTGGTAAGACTAATTACTTAAATCATAGCAGCTCAATTCCCCAAATCATACACATGTCAATTTCCGTTATTGGGAAAACCAATGGCTGCGTTACCTAGATTGAAGAGTAATTGTTAGATAATGTGTGATTCCACAGATTGGTAGTTAACAGAAATGTGTACAATTCGTGATACAACAGTATATTATACAGCATTAAAGTAATTTTTTACAGTAGAGAAATATATACAGTTGTTTTTGAACCAGAAAGTATAAAAGACAAAACAAGATTATGGGAACAGATTGTGGGTGGCCATTACAAATGTTTCTATCTTCTGATCTTTTTCTCTTTCTGTAAATTACATAATGTCATATTTTTTAGGTAAATCGGTCACTTCCAGGCGCTTATCTCATTTCTATTGTACAATTCCGTGATTTATAAATATTAGCTATGTCATTTCCTAAAAGTTATAAATAGTATTTTCATTCATGAGAAAGATACGTCAAGACATCATTTCCCATAACTTTTTTTTTTCTTTTTTTAAGCACTGAGAAAAAAATGTGACACGTGATTTCATCATAACAAAAACCAAAACAGGACTTTATGTACGATGTTAGACGAATTATATGTCTTATCATCTCTTAATGAATCTAAACAATATATTTTACATGTTTGTAGCAATAACCATCTTATGTTGTCGTATTTGAAATAAAAAAAAAAATATTGTTAGAGCATTATTATTTATACCCAATATTTACACTAATAAAAAATTGACATTAAACAATTATTAATGATAATAACCAAGAATATACAATATGAAAACAAAAACCAAGTAAAACAAACCGAATATTATATTTTACAGAATTAGAAAATTAACAATAATTTAAATAATATTGTACTTTGCTTCTGTGATTCTGATAGCATAGCTTTAACACAAAATATAACTGCGCCGGTTCTGTGATGATTAATATTTCTTTCTCTTTCATCATGGTGCTTTTAATTTGTTTGATTTCTTTTTCTTTTTTGAAGATATCAGACAATTTGGTGCTAGGTTTAAAGGTCTCATATGTCTTTTTCTTTAATAAATCAATGAATCAACCAGGAAAACCGATCAGTTATATTTAACTCATTCATTCTTTCTTTCTGTCATATTTACTCATTCATCCTTTCATACCCTCATGTTCACTAATACATTCTTTCATGAACTCATATTCAATAATTCATTCATTCTATCATTCATTCAGTCACTTATTTATTTACTTTTTTGCTCAATTATTTAATGTCATTCAATGTATACATCCTTAATTGTTTTTAATTGTTTTTCATGTACATTTGTTTGTTCGCTTGTACACGTACATATACGAGCGACAAGGAAAATTCACTAAAGAAAGGAGGAGTCATGGACATGTAATCATTAACATGTAGATATTTGGTAACAAGGTCATTGACATGTAAGTGATGAGTAACAGAATCATTTACATGTATCAGGGTCATTGACATGTATGGGTAATAGGGTCATTGACATGCAAGTAATGGATAATAGAGTCATGCAATTGCATGTTATGGGTAACGGGGTTATTGACATGTAAGTTATGGGTAACAGGGTTATTGACATGTAAGTTAGGGGTAATAGGGTCATAGACATGCATGTTATAGGTTACAGGGTTATTGACATGTATATTATGAGTTAGAGTCATTGACATTTAAGTTATTTGTAACAAGGTCAATGAAATGTTAGCTTTTGGTGTAAGGGTCATTAAAATGTAAGTTGTAGGTAACTGGGTCATTCACATGTAAGTTTTGGTAACAGGGTTATAAACATTTAAATAGTTGGTAACATGTCATTCACATGTATGTTGTGGATAACTGGGTCATTCACACGTAAGCAATTGGTAATATGATCATTGACATGTAAGTTTTTGGGAAATATGAACATGGCCATGTAAGTTTTTGGGTAACAGGGTTATGGACCTGTAAGTGAAAGGTAACAGGTTTATGGACATCTAAGTTATGGGTAACAAGGTTATTGACATGCAAGTTATTAGAAACAGGGTCATTGCCATTGTGAGTTATGGGTAATGCGTCATTTACATGTAAGTTAAGGATAACAGGGATATTGACATGTAAGTTATCATTAATATGGCCATTACCATGTAAGTTATGAATAACAAGGTTATTGACATGTAAGCGATTAATAACAAGGTTATGGACATATAAGTTATGTGTAACAGGGTTATTGACAGGTAAGTTACGGGTAACAGGGTTATTGACATGTAAGTTACGGGTAACAGTCATTGCCATATAAGTTATTGGCAACTGAGTCATTGACATATAAGTTATGGTTAATAGTGTGATTGATATGAACCTTAAGGGAAACAGGATGACATGACATGAAGTTATTCCATTGTAAAATATGATCAATAATGTTGTTTGATAGGTTGTGTAATCACCTTTTTTTTGTTGTGACAAGGAACGTAACAGTGCAGTCATGTGCAAATCAAATGAGAAGAGTTTTAACGTATGTATTAAATGTCTGACATATGTCGTTGCTGTAGAGATGTAGCCAGTGTGTTCAAGCTAGGCAGTAGCTATGAAGTGGAACCCCCACCAGTCAATAAAGAAGACCAACTCCTGTTTCATAAATACGTCATGTGTGGAAAGAAAGGCGCAACTAACCCTTCAAAGGACCAAATCAGAAATTTACGATGAATTCTTCACCAAGAAAACTTTCGTAATGACACTTCTACTGCTTTCAATGAGTAATTGGATTATCTCTATTTCAAGTAGAAGGTTATCCTTTCCCTCCCATGGAAAAAAAATAGGAAAGGAAGCATTTGTATCAGACACATTTTTTCAAAGTGTAACAGAAACCTAAAATCAGTGCAGGAGGAAACAATACAAAGTGGTGGATCCAGTTCGGCAATGTGGGAGTATCTTTTAGATTATAAAAAATGATTTTGAGGTATCTTAACCTCATGCATAAAGTCGTTCTTTGTTAGAAATTCTGTATTTACATGTCAGTATTCATTAACCCACCTACCCACCCCGTTTAGAGATCCTAGGCCTTCCAGATTATAGAAAAAATGTGGATTGAGCTCAGTATCCACGCTTGACCATGGGTAAAAATCATTCCACAAAGAAGTCCACATGTTCTGTTTTACACCTGTTAGGGTTCAGATTTAATGCTATCGAACACAATATACCTGTGATATGTGTAAGAGTAAAGGACATATGCTACCTTCTAGATTCTACCTCTGATTTGTATTAGAATTGTATTCCTTTATTTTTGTAATTGGCCTACATTATTGTTTGTCTTTTAAATGTGTCCTGACCGGAACTCTTTTGTAAAGTGTATGACTGTCACAGTAAGATAGCATACAGCCTTAAGTACGTAAGTATGTATAAGTGTATGTGATATTTATCTATGTTTAATTTTAAACAATTTAGTTGGATCTGCGCAACGTTTTTTTCTTTAAATTCTCTATTCCTGTCAGCTGTGTCACTTTTGAGGTAGGTCTCCCTTATGTGGTTTCAGTTGTATCAAATTGATTGAAATGTATTTAAATTGATAATTTCTAAGAAATTTAGATAAATAATCTTGACTCACTTTCAACGTCAATTTTAAACATTTGATCCAAATGACATTGAGAGGTGGTCAAAGTAATTTGATAGCACTATGTGTTACTTGGAGACGGCTTACATAGACATTGCCTGCTTCCCAATCATTTTCTTATATAAGGGGCCCACATGGAGGCCAGCCACACTTTTGTTTCCGGATAATTTATCTGAAAATCTAAAAGACTAATCCTTTTGATTTTTGACATGGTGATGAACTGTGATATGTCGATGTGCAACCGGGTTTTAAATATTTGAAGGTCAATGTCAAGGGAACTGGCACTAAAACAGTCCAAGGGTGGGTGTGGGGGGAGTAGGTGTGGTTGGGGAGGATCTGTCAGTGTTCATGTTGACTAATATTCGTATTCAGCCCACTTGGCACTTTGACAAAAGAGTAATATTTAGTTGGCTTATAAAGCTGTATAGGAATAATATTGACAACATTGAAAAAATATAAAATTTTAATATGATGATAAGTACAGTAAATAAAATACATACATGCAGTAATGTGATATAATCATGTTACCAAGATTGTTCTTTCCCCGAACTTTCATAGGAAATGAGTTCAATTATTTAAAGCTACTACAAATATCTACATAGATAAAAGAAAAAGAAAAAAAAAGTGTGTATACAATAACACACTGGGAAACATATGTTTTTAAACAGTTTAAACATTGACAACTGTTACCCTATATATTAATTTTCTTTGCTTTCATATTATCTTCAAGTTGACTACAAGTAAAGAACCATCAATCACTGCAAGAAAAATGTTCTTTCTTTACCCTTGTTAACAGAAGGTCATTCATACAATGTTTGTGCGTCATCCGTCTTCAATTCTTACTCGGCTATTATATACTTTTGACAGGGGATGTCTCAATATAAGATCTATTTAAACAAAGGTTTAGTTGGTTCTTTTTATGCAAAGTCAGCTTGTCATTCCTCATTAGCTTCACTTTGTTAAATGATAAGATTAATGTTCGATAATTAATGTTCGGTTACTTAATGATTGACTGATAAATGATTCCTTGATAAAAATTGACTGATAAATGATTGACTGATAAATGATTGACTGATTAATGATTGACTGATTAATGATTCACTGAGAAAGATTGACTTATAAATGATTGACTGATTAATGACTTTGAACTTAGAACTCAATCACATGTCTTATTAAAAAGTTAAATATCTCATAAAGTTGCTGTTCCAAATGATATCTTGTCAGTGGATAAATACATATAGTAATTCTACCATTGATGATGTAAAAATGCTTTAAACACTGTATTCTCCCTGCCATTAAAAACCAATAAAACATCATTGGTTTGCTCACACTTTATTAATATTTATCCCAAATATTTCTAGGCACTGACAATATTGTATAGCCCTAATTTATAAGTGTTAATAAAGTCTGTTGAATAATTAATACAAAAATCAGCAAACATATTAGATACAAGATACGTACATATTTATTGTTATTTAAACAAAGAAGCAATGATAAAAAAATGTAAGATTATACCGTGTTAAATCTAGTGAGAGTTCCGAGGAAAGGGTTGGAATGAGAAGCATCATTATCCTTATCCTCGTCAGTGCTCATAATAACACCCTAGACACCCTCTCTATCGTCACAAGGCTATCGTATAACAATATCCGTGTTATTCATTACATGGAAAGATCGTAACAATGTCCCTCCATTTAATCCAATGTTAATTAATTGATTAACAAATGTTAATATCTTTAATTGATAACAATCTCCAAGATATTTAGGTAGAAATAAACAGAATAAAACACTATATTTACACTTCAACATGCTCAAGTTGTATTACACCCATGATAAGCAGGCCATGTTTGAAAAACGCAGTTAGCTAATGCAAAACTATTCACAAAAACCTCAGAAATGTACGTTTATCCATTACATTATACACTGCAAAGCGAACAAGGCCATGACGATGAACACATTCCTTGTCGCATGACAGGACCATGTCCCTGACTGAGAGCAAGGTTCATCAGAATCGGAGCAGTACTTGGAAAGCATTGCCTCCCATTTGCGTCTCTCCCTTTCATCTGTCAGAACTTGAAATCCCTGTTCAGTTATCTGTTCACAAACCTCCATCGGTCTGAACTGGTTAAGCCTGTACATCCCGAACTCCTCCTTGCCAGGATAAAGATCGGCCACCATGCATATCATCTCGTGTTCCGTAGGGCTGATATCCAGGGACTCCATAATCGAATCTGACATCAGCAGATCAGCAAATTCTTTAACCATTGCTTCTGGGTTTTCTTCTTCCTCAAAGCCTATATAACGTCTTATATTGAGTTCAAGTAAATTCTCTTTCCTTTTTAAAAGTATGTCCTGAAGCTGAGAGGTTAGTAGCGTACCTGACTGGCACTGGTTTCTTATGACGTCAACAGGGTAATGATCATACACGTACATTTCCAAAGGGGCTACAGATCCAAGAACACAGAGGATCTCCTTAAATGGCCAGTTGTCATTTCTCTTAACATCGGCTGCAGTTAAGGACCGTCGGATATCTTGGAAGATGGAACTGATGGGAACGTTCTCCTTTAAGCCTTTGCGTATTGTTTTATTAAGATATGTATTGAAAAAATCTGGACAAGGATGTATTTGATATCTTTTCATTTCATTCCTCGTCTCTATTGCATCGAGTTGGAGTTGTTCGAATTTTTCGGTTGTTAAAAGACTACAAGTCGATCTTGGTCTGAAGTCTGCCAAGTCATAGAAAGCGTACTTGAACCTTTGGGGAAACATCTCGGCAATGTTACACAACACCTCTTTCTCGTCTGGAAATTTACCCAGGGGTTGCATGTATTCATCAAATCCGAGAGCTCGGGATATTTCGTCAGATAGTTTCGCCGAATCCTCGTCCTCGCTGCTTTCAACATTACGTCGTATTGTTTCTTGCACCAAAGTATTTTGTCTGTGTAACAGAACAGTGTTCAGAGGAAAACTGTCTGGCGTTCGTCTGCAGTAGTCTCTGATGTTTTCCATATTGTAGTAATCAAATTCCTTGTGGCTGGGATGGAAGAGAGCCAGATGACAGAGAACGTCCTGTATTGGCCAGTTAACTCCTCTGCCAGTGGTGTGTAAACCTACATCCTTGAGCTTATAACACATGCGTAATATGTTGACACTGCTGTCGTTGATTCCTTCCTGTACAACGTCAAATAAAGCATTTTCTGTATGAACCCAAGACTCCATTTCAGTCATGTTAAAAAAGTCGTTTTCTAAGATATGTAATAGTTCATTTTGTTTTAGATGTATGTTACCCTTGTCAACGTTACCAAGTAAGATAGCAGATACATTGCGGTATAATGCTGTTTTGATTTCAAATTGTGTGAGATCTATTTCTTGAGATCTCATGTGGTCAAACAACTCAAGTGTTTCAACAACAGTTCTTGTTACGTTTATAAACAGGCCGATAGAATAATCTAAGTATTGTGTACAGTTTGTTTCTGATTCGTTTCCCTCAGCAATTATTTCATTTAATTGTTTTAAATCATTCTGATACTTATGAATGAACTCTCTCAATTTATCCTCAAGCTTTACATATTGCTTTTGCTGCAAATAAATTGAGACTGCAGATGCAATACCAGACAGTGAGCCCTTTGCGAATCCTCCGATTACCGAACTAACAGAAAACTTTCTTGGGTTTATGTTATTCCAAAGACGTTTGATTCCCTGTCTCGGATGAACAAATTTGTTTACTACTCTATGTTTTAGCGATCTCATTTTATGGGATACTCTTCCTAACTTGTGTTTTAGTGTTTTTACGGGGGATACCACAGCATTTTGTGCCGAAGTGAATGCCTCTTTTGCTCTCCCTTTTTGACCGGAAAGGATAGCGTTGGTTATCATTTTAAATTTCTTGAAATAACCTTTCGGCTTGCCATATTTTGAAACAAGAAAATCATACTTTTTCTTGGATAAATTACCAATATTTCCTATTATCACTGATATCGTCTTTGGGACAACAAATGAAATTGCTGCATCCATCATATTGTTATGTTTAATGTCATTCAAACGTTTTTCCATTCGTGAGTAAACAAACTCAATGTCATTGATTTTTTCCTCTAAGCAGTCCTTGATCATTGTATCATTTTCTTTAGCGCAGACAAAATCCATGCTTTCCAAATAACGCAGTTCTGCAATATTGGTGATATAGACAAGCGATTGAGTAATATGCTTGATGTGTGAAAGTATCGAATTTGTTGACTGATACACTCGGTTCGCCTTAGCAGTGCACTTCCTAAGTCTAGTGTGAGTCTGGCTCAGTGTCTTCAATGCTTCATATATGTGGTCCTGGATTGTCTTTAGCTCTTCTTTCAATGGGCAAATATTCACGGCTGGACATTCTGTGAATTAAGAGGCAAACTAATAAAAAAAATCGCCTGAATATATGAATCTTTGGTTTTAAGAATACCTGTACCGCTGCAGGCAAAATACCAAAAATATTCTGTATGGTTTTTCGTACTTATAGTAATCTTTCATTAATATCATTTTGGATATAACAGTAGCACGACGTAGCTAATGTGTTTCCTTTGACTAGCTATATGTAGCTCATGGTCAGGTGGTAAGAGCGATAGTACATGTATAATGATCTGAAGTCAACGGTTCGAATTCTGGTCTTTTTGCAATTATACACATTGAACATTGTTGCATATAAAAAAAAAAAACATTTTTAATTGTTTTCTTTTAAGAAATGATTTATCATCATGCCATATCGAGAAACAAGTTTCCAATGTAAATTTACAGTTGTTAGCAGCGGCACAGCGATTCTTAAGATAAAGTCCATTTGTATCACAATATTAACAAATAGCGGAAAGTAAACAGAGCAAGGTGCTGAAACAAAATTTGCAGAAAACAAAAACGCTAGAGTTTCCTAAACCATATGAGGGCAACCGTCATAATGTCTCCTACCGAATTCAGTAGACTATGCAGGTCACCAATACTGTAAGTATTCTTAGTTTTGAGGATGTACTCTTCTGAGTTTTAAATCACGTTCAAGTCTCGTTTTGATCTTGTGAAACGTGATTTTTGGAATATATAACAAGTTATGATCAATTTTAAAAGCACACACCCATCGGGAAAAAAAACCCTAGAAATTATAAAAAAAATGACCAATTCGGCCTCCATTTTGAAAATGTGTGTTTCTTACATTTTCAATTAGATCACTTTAGAATTTTTTATATCAAAGGTTTACTTGATACACAAACAATGTATGTATTAAACGTGTCGCAACATTTCAAGACCGACTGGTTCCTTCTGTCAAGCTATGCCAGAGTGAGCGATTTGTATACGATTTGACGAAATTGTACGTTATTTATGGCACTAGACCCGGGACGTTTCGCCTATCGGTAGAGAGCGTATACACTTTACCGAATAGGTTACAGGCAGGGTGTAGATCTAGCCCCCTCCCCCGTTAACAGGAGTTGTTTATCAACACGGTCATGCAATTCGTTTTGTCTTTTCTACTATGCCACTAACTCATTTTTCAAAACTTGTGCAAAGAAAAATATTAAAATGGGATTTTTTTTACATCCTTAAGTGTTTTAATTATTACCAAATATCAACAACATATTTACATATTTGAGACCACCGAAAGTAAAGAATGCATGAAGAAGTGAATGGGCTATACCTATAATATATTCAACGAACTGCCGTAAGGTTATTGGGAAGCAAAATTTATATAGTTTCTTTTATTATATCATCATTATTTTTCTCTCTGATATAGGAGATATTTAGCTCACAATCAATATGAGAGACAGTGAACAATTGAAAACAGGGCATTATAACGTCACGTAACTTTAGTGTTTGTGAACACAACGCCAGAGGTATAAGTATATTTATCCAGAAAACCATGGCCCACTTGTATAAAACTGTTAAGGAAAATCTCAAGCAATGTATTGTCTATGGAAAATCTTAGACTTGAGGAAATCTCAAGAGTTGAGATGTTTTATACAAGTGGGCCCATGACACTTAAGAATATAATTTAGAGTAGTGCATAAGATCATGCTAGTCATTACGCACGGTCAGGGAATATTGTATGTCACTTCTGAGGTAATGAAAATAATTCATCGTGAAATTCCTTTAGATACAACATTGTGAAATAATCAAACTGGAATCGATGGTAAACAGTATAAATTTTAACCTAATACCAAATTTTCACTCTGCTCTTGACATACCTGATAAAGCTTGAACAACTACGATTCCCACCTCTACATACTCCGTTGCTTCCCCAACGTGTCCGACGATCTTCGAAAATGAAGACACAGCTCTCGGCACGTTCTTTATGAGTGCTTTAATGATTGTTTAAAAGAGTTCATAAAATAGCTATTAGAAATAAAGCAAACTGAATAAAGTACGAATATTTCTGATAAGAGTGTTATATTTTCGTCAGCTACATTTCCTCCTTGTGTCTTTACATATTACTTTTCAATATGATTTCCGCCGACGTTCAGCAATACTTCACAATTGTAAGTAGAAGTAAAATCATTGTTTTCATTATCAAATATGTTTAATATTGGTGAAATTACCCCTAAAATATCATAGCCAAACTGATATAAAACGATAAACGGTATTTTCAGATAATTGTCATCATGATATCTAATAATATATGTTGGTTTCATTCGATTGTGTACATTTAAAGTTATTAACCTATGTGCTTACTGTTCATTTCAGAGTAAGATTAATTATTTTGTAGACAGATACACATGAGTACACCTATCTGGTCAAATACACACCAGAAATAAGACTTTGAAAATAATCATAATAAAAACCTAATAAAAATGCCGCAGATATTTAATTGTGTATTTTAATGAGGCATTATTTTTCATAATGATAACAAAATAATTTTGTGGACGCATGAAAGTTCCTTTCAAAGATTAATCCTGGAAATAAATAACAGACGATGGTGATAACGAATAAAACGTTCTATTATGATTTTTTTTTTTTTACATTTTAAGAGATGATCAATACCTGGGGAAATCAAAAATTCAAAATGTGTATTCATAAAGCTATTAATAAATTAAATTGTTGAACCATCAGAAAATTCAATCTATTAGATCAGTTAACCCAAGTTATATGTGATCCGTGGGATGAACAATCCATGTGATAGTCAACCAATCATATACTCAATCCTGAATATTGTCATTATAGAAAATGATCAATCCCTTAGATAGGTCAAATTTTTCATGAATATATAGATACATTGTAAACATTTGCCGCGAATACTTCTTTTTTAGATTATTCTTACCATGACAAATCAATGTTCAGTACAAACACCTTTAGACTATTTGATGTTCAAAATATCAATATGAGACGTTTCAGTATGTATCTATTTTGATTATAAAATGGTATTACAACTGTCGCTTACATGTTTTCGCTGCTATTGCTGCTGTGCGGAACACAACACCGAAAAGTCCTCTCTTTCTTCGAACCTTTGTGACCTTTCGATTCTCATCGCTGTTATCTAAAAAAAGAAGAACGTTTTTATCATTTTTAAGCATTAGATAATGTTCCTGTATTTGATAAGACATAAATTTACAATAAACCGGAATACCCGTGCATATATAATTTGTCCTTGTCAACAGGCCGATCCTATGATAAACCATATAAACGCAGGAATGTACTTTAGTACTACTTATCATTGTCCTCAGCAATAGGCTAACTATAAAGAAATATAACTAACGTACAAGTGTATAAAGGGAAGGGCATGCAGAATTTCTTTTGAAAATGTGTATTCAATAAGAAAGATAATACATATATGTTTCAATGGTTAACCTATATAGAACACGGTTTGGCCAACACCTGGATGACACTTTACGGCAACAAGTGACGGAAAGTTTTTAATGTTATAGGCTTAGGCTATCCTTGCTTGCCGTTGCAGCACCACTGAAGATCAATATTGCTCACTGTTTACGATACTGGGAAGTCGGTTACATATTTTTGCCAATGTTAATGGGATTGTAAAAGCGTGTTTGTCTAATAATCATAAAACTGTATTCCCATGTGCATGTTTTAAAGGTTATAAAATATTAACTTTTCTAAAAATAAAAATGTCTTCATCACAAATTACTATTCTTAGACTTCACACTATTTACTCACTTTGAGTAGCCCCGACCAAACCTATTTCTATTAGACTCCATTTTTGCCTACTTACTTATCCAGAATTCCGCTGAGAATCACTTTTCAGAGATCTTACTATTAGTGTTATTGATTAAACCTAACACAAAGTAAATTTCACTTTTACTCACATTTCTGATTTTTTAAGGATATCTTCTTTTTATACCCCACTGTTACTCACCTTTCTTAATTTCCTTATTATCAACTATTTATAGCTATTGTTTATTCAATAGCAAATATTCAAAGCAAAAGAAGCATGCTTACTTCGTGATATGTCTCCTGTCATTAATCTTGCTTTCTGAACCGTTGTGACACTTCTACCGTCATCATCATCAGACTCGCTGTAATCTATAACAATAAAAGAGTAACACTTGTTGATCAAAGTATTTGTATGAAACACTTATCCAAACAACTTATTCAATTAAGAAGTTTATGAAAAAGTTCCTTATTCTCAAGTTTGCTCGCTTTCTGATGTAAAGTGCAAGTATTTACAGTGCTACTTTCAATTAATATGATTAACGATTGAAACACAAAGAAACAAGAATGGAACGCAAACTCGATATAAAAAGTCAAAATAGGAACCAACGAGACATGAAAAGAAACGGCCCCGGAATGTCATCATGAAGTCCCATAATAAAATGGAGGCGAAGCAAAGTGCTCGGGAGGGCAAATTGTCATGCTCTCATCATGATAAATTACCAGTATAATGTTGGGGAGTATGTATATATCGGTCATGAAATATCCGAGACATAATGAATACGTCTTTTTATGTATGATTGATAGTGATATTTCAAAACCGAATATCAAATCATGACTACGACCGTAAATATTGAAGTGTAGATTGAAACTGATCTGGTAGAAAATCATGACTACGTAACTTATTCGTCAACAGGACAACTTTTGTGATTTAAAGGAAGAGTTCTGTAGCAGCAAATCAACTGTTTCAATTCATCACAATTACAGGGAAGCCCGGTATATTACTTTTGTGAGAAGGGTAATTGATTATCGTGACATTAAATCGTTTGATATCTTTTATTATGTTGGCATTGTAGACGACTTGTTCATAGATGATACAAGGACTATAACAGTGCTAACTCTTAATCGTTACCACCCTGACATACCCCCTACTAACACTTACCAGGATGAGCCCACACAGCAACTAGCATAAACAGCAGCAATGCGTAAACAAACTTCATCTTCATAGGCGCAAGGCAGAATGCATACGTTCAAGTTCACAGCTGAAAGCATATAGATATTAGAGCATGCTTTACCGTATCATATAATCTATTTTAAATACATATTTTAAGCTATTTTTGTTTCCTAAAATATTCTATGGGTAATCCTTCAAGGTTTGCTTTAAATGTGTAACATATACTAATTACATTTCCATTTATACCATACGGACTCATTATATTCAGAACAAATGTGGTCCAATATAAATTACAAGTGAATCTCATAATACAAATACAAATACAAATATACAGCATTTGATATAGCGCCCTATCTAGATAACATAGGCCTTTACAGTACATAGATATACAGTTAATATAATTAGAATATACATTTTTAAGGAATTCGCAGGAGCTGCCTTATAAGGCGCTAACTACTAATCCTATGCCACCTTGCTAAGGTCTCCCTATGTGTGTATGCCTGCGTGTGTGCTGGAGATGTAATGTGTTCTGTTTGTAGTTGGACCCTGTTTGTAGTGGGACCGTGCTTTCAACGGCATCCTTTATAGTGCCACCTCACTTGAATGCTACATCACAGAACCGCAACATCCACCCCAGACCATTTTATACTCCACCTGGGTTGTTGGAGTTGTGTGGGCAGAAAAAAACACTTTCTCTGATATTCCATGCGTGCGACGACTTCGGGGATAGAACCCCGGCCGCCTGCGTGGAAGGCCGAAGTGTTAACCACTCGAGCAATCCGCCCATAATGTGTTTTTAAATAACAAGTTTATCCAATAGAAACTGAACAATACATAGAGGTGTCCTTTTGTAAATACACCAGAGTCAATACAAAACGATAAAAAAGAATTTCTGTTTTCTTTTTTTGTTTTGTTTTTGTTTTTGTTTTGGTTATGGGTTTGTTTAGTTTTTTGGTAAAACATGAGCAAGTTATCATAGACCTTTTTCATTACTCACGTTTTTGTAATGTAATTTCACTACACATTCATTATTTTTTAATTTAATTTAATTCTTTAATTGTTTAACAGGGATTACCAACAGCCAAAATGCCTCTTTTTAAGTTTATTTAAAAAAACAAATTGTGAAATTTTGATAACAGCACTTATATATTAGTAAACATTGATAACTGTCAAAGTTATCTAAACATTTCAGATGTCATCAATCTATTTTGTTATATAACAGTTTCACAATCATGAAACATTTTATATGAAATAAAGCCCTACTTACCTTGGCTTCAGCTCTTGCTTTCGCGTTTAAACACCCTAGACGAAAAATATAAACATAAACCTATGGAAATCGCCTTTTATATTTCAGCATTTCTTGAAAAACCGATTTGCAGACAAGCCGCCATGATTTCTCGGAATGTTAATTGGATTCAAAAATAACTCATGTGTATTTGTTTTATTTTTGGGTCTTGTGTAACAAGGTCATCATATCGGTGGAAATATTTTGTTTACCTTCCTCCTTGACCTATGATATCGTCAGTTCCTCTGTTCGGTAGGTATGTGTACATTAGTCATACATGCTGCAAAAACCTACTACAACGTATAAGAATCAAAAAAGATTTGAAACATTTATGACATTTCTTTATCTTGGGAAATCTCTACAAATACAAAATAAGGATGCACAAACATACAAATTGAGCAAGTCGGTTAAAAAAACCCAACAAAGTAAGTATATACCACGCTATCTTGCCTTTTAGTACATTAAGATACTAAACCTGATGTATTTTCAAATTTACAAAGAAATATACCATGCGTTGGTATACATCCGCTATGTAAATCAAGATATAATCCTAATAACGACGTCCTCAAAGTGAGAATCCGTGTTCAATAATGTCAGACTAAAATACAAATTATTACAATTTTGTTTAAAGTTTGATTTAATTATTTTGTTATCAATATAATTTGATAGTTTTAGGTAATGTACGGACAAAGTAACTTAGAATAGTTCAACAGTCATTTCTTGTGTATTGTGTTCGAGTACAATGCTGAAGAGTCATTTGATATTCTAACAGGCGATTAACAGGAGTGGGTTTATACGTACGTTGATGTTATAGTTTCATTTTCGTTTTCGATTGCTCACTTCCTCGTATGTTTTTTACTTATGACCTTCTACCTGTACGGGGTTTCCCCTAACACGACTATCAGGTAGCCAATTGGAAGTGCCATGTCACATATCAAAACGAAAGCAGCACCATTTGTACACAGAAAATAAATCATATTTAAGCAATCTTTACTTAAGTTCAATTAGTCCATAAATTCTTCGGTGCCGTATTATGGATTTCAAGCCCTGTAATTCTGGAACCCAGATCAACAATGTTATAATATAAGAATCGACTTTAATCCAGATCAATATTAAGTCTACAATTTCAAAACCAATCTCCGATATTTAAGTGTTCAAAACCATAATAGCTAAAGTACTACATGTACTTAATATGTACCACAAAAATAATGCAGCACACAGTGTTTTGGTAAATTTGCTTTATTTGTTTTATAAACAATGAAACTATAATACATAACACAATAGATTATCGTTAAAAAATCTTATAAATTGGGTTATATATTTTTTTTTAATTAGGAAAATGATGAAATTCTAAAAACGGACAACGCTTCATTAATTGCTCTTTTTACGTGAAAACTAACAATGAACTATTTTACAAGGCTCATGATAAATCAAAACTAAACTAAATTGCCTGAATGACATTTTCGATATATTTTGTAAATGCACAGTGTTGAAACCATTCAGCAAATGGTCAATGGAAATACAATGATTTAATCCTTCTTTAATCCATCAAGTCAATGGACTAGTCTATCAAGTCAATGGACTAGTCCATCAAGTCATGGACTAGTCCATCAAGTCCATGGACTAGTCCATCAAGTCCATGGACTAGTCCATCAAGTCCATAGACTAGTCCATCAATACCATGGACTAGTCCATCAAGTCAATGGACTAGTCCATCAAGTCAATAGACTAGTCCATCAAGTCCATGGACTAGTCCATCAAGTCCATGGACTAGTTCATCAAGTCCATGGACTAGTCCATCAAGTCAATGGACTAGTCCATCAAGTCAATGGACTAGTCCATCAAGTCCATGGACTAGTCCATCAATAACATGGACTAGTCCATCAAGTCAATGGACTAGTAAACACAGTTGGCCTTGAAGCAAATCAGCACATTCAATCAGTCTCCAGACCAACTCACCAATACTTAAAATGTAATTTTGTTACACTAGTAAATGCAATTGTATATGTGGAATGTTGAAATACTTCCTGTGTGTGACTTGTGATGAAAGGTATGTAATACGATTTCCGGTTTCCAGAACAAAACCTACTCATATTTTATTTTTACCTAACAAGGTGCATGATATAAGCACACGGCACCATTATTTCAAGTTTAACATTCCAAGGTGATTATAAAGTTTGCACACAACACTTAATACCCTATTACAAAGTTGACACGAGCCAACAATCACATTCTATATAAACTACATGATGCCATCATTATAGATATGATTAACATATTTTTTTGACAAATTTGTTAGACAAGTCTTTAACACAAAAATTTATTTCTTGTATCATACACTAAATAACAGATATTGTTATATCCCAGTACTGTCAATCTGTGTATTGTTATATCTGAGTACTGTCAATCTGTGTATTGTTATATCCGAGTACTGTCAATCTGTGTATTGTTATATCCGAGTACTGTCAATCTGTGTATTGCTATATTCGAGTACTATCAATCTGTGTATTGTTATATCTGAGTACTGTCAATCTGTGTATTGTTATATCCGAGTACTGTCAATATGTGTATTGTTATATCCGAGTACTATCAATCTGTGTTTTGTTATATCCGAGTACTGTCAATCTGTGTATTGTTATATCCGAGTACTGTCAATCTGTGTATTGCTATATATCAGTACTGTCAATCTGTTTATTGCTATATCTGAGTACTGTCAATCTGTTTATTGTTATATCTGAGTACTATCAATCTGTGTATTATTATATCTGAGTACTGTCAATCTGTGTATTGCTATATATCAGTACTGTCAATCTGTTTATTGCTATATCTGAGTACTGTCAATCTGTTTATTGTTATATCTGAGTACTATCAATCTGTGTATTATTATATCTGAGTACTGTCAATCTGTGAATTGTTATATATGAGTACTATCAATCTGTGTATTGTTATATCTGAGTACTATCAATCTTTGTATTGTTATATCAGAGTACTATTAATCTGTGTATTGCTATATCTGAATACTATCAATCTGTGTATTGCTATATCTGAGTACTGTCAATCTGTGTATTGTTATATCCGAGTACTATCAATCTGTGTATTCTTTTATCTTAGTACTATCAATCTGTGTATTATTATATCTGAGTACTATCAATCTGTGTATTGCTATATCCTAGTACTATCAATCTGTGTATTCTTTTATCTGAGTACTATTAATCTGTGTATTGTTATATCTGAGTACTATATCAATCTGTGTATTGCTATATCTGAGTACTGTCAATCTGTGTATTGTTATATCTGAGTACTATATCAATCTGTGTATTGTTATATCCGAGTACTATCAATCTGTGTATTCTTTTATCTGAGTACTATATCAATATGTGTATTATTATATCTGAGTACTATATCAATCTGTGTATTATTATATCTGAGTACTATCAATATGTGTATTATTATATCTGAGTACTATCAATCTGTGTATTATTATATCTGAGTACTGTCAATCTGTGTATTATTATATCTGAGTACTGTCAATCTGTGTATTATTATATCTGAGTACTATCATTCTATGAATTGCTATTTCTAATGATCTGAGTACTGTCGATCTGTGTATTGCTATATCTGAGTACTGTCAATAGACCCAGCTGGTTTTTTAAACTTCTTTCCTAGTACTGTTTATGTCAATATGCAAATTTATAGTGATCGAGTCCTGGCAATCGGTATATTCCGATCGTTCTAGATACGGTCAGTCAGTTAATTTTGATACTTCTTTATCTTCGCGATTATTTTCCTGACGATTCGAGAGGATTGGATTTAAGGATATACACAACTACGAATTACATTATATCTCTGATTTATTCTCGAGTCACTTCACATTCTACCTTGAAATTAACCTATGAAGATATATAAATAGTTCTGGAAGTAAAAGAACCTTTACTGTACTCCTTGCTTTAAGAAGTGACAAACCAGCAAGGCGAGTACAGTGAGCGTTTTAACGTGAGATAATTGTGTTATAGAGACCTGGTCGTTTTTTCGGGCAGGAATTAATGGCGTGAAGTGTTCCTCAAGTGCAACATAAGCTTTTTCATAAACTTGTTTACTTGTGAAGTTGAGTACAGGTGTTTGATGTTCAACACAGAAACCATGGTCCTCGCAAAAATGTTTTCGAAAGATTCGCTCCATTTCAGCATTCCTTTGGTGGATTGCGTAGGAGGAAATTATCTCAACGACGCCTTCAGTGAAAAATTGGTGATGCTGACGGAAGAAAGACAATTGGTAGAAACCGAACTGCTTTTTTTCGGGATACAGTCGAGCAACGGCGAGTAGTATGTCCGTCTGCGAGACAGACAGTCCATATTTTCTAGACATAACATCATGTTCTATTTTATTGAAAATACTATCATAGATAGAACCGGGATCTTCGACTCCTTGCCTTCTTACGGCTGAACGGACTTCCTGTTCAAGAAGCATTTCTTTACGTCGGGTTACCATCTGGTTGAGAAGTGAAAATGAGGACCCGCATTTTTCTCGTAATGTGTGAAGAGGATACGAATCATATTCCAGACAATCTAGTCGTATGATGGCCAATGTACATAGCATATCTTCTGGTGATACAATCGTATCCAAAGTAAGCAATGTGCCGCCATCTTGGCAAGTTTTCATTTCAATCGATTTCATGATATTACTGACGGACTGTTTTTCATTTGAAGACGTATGTATTTCCTTGTATAAAAGTAGTCGGGATTTCATCCAAACCTCTAGTCGCTGAAGACTAAACTCAAACTTTATCCATGGGAGTAATTTTTGTTCTTGATTTATAAATATATTTTGATTTTGAAAGCCATTGGTTTGAGTGTGAATATCTTGTAGTTCGCCCAACGTTAATGTGCCATATCGGTTAGTAATATGTGGACCTTTTGTGGAATGCGAAAGAAGAATATCAAGGATATCTCGAAATCCACTCGTACAATTTTCAGAAAACTTCTCCAAAGACGTTTGGCTTATGTTCTTTTCCGCAAGCAACCCTGCACGGACATCACTAAGCTTTTCCACGAATTTAGAATATGTCTTTATAAGAACATACATTTGGAACTGAACTTCAAGCCAGTCTTTCTCTTTCGCTAATTCATTAATTTTCATTTCCTTTTGTTCTATCACTTTACTAGTGCTTTTGATCTGATGAATTCCAATTAAAGTAAAAGGAAAGATTGACTGTAGTTCGAATAGGAAGTAATCTGGATCAGGATATTTGTCTAGTGTAGAATGTAGTTTAGACAGAACTGTCCTGTACATATCCACTACGTCGACCGGACGCCAAGTATATTTCCTCTGCAGTATCGAACGTTCGTTAGGTATCCAGATAGTACCGATGGTGTTGATATCATTGCGCAGGGCATCGTGTATCTTTCGCATCACGGTCTCCCATGTCCTTGGGTACTTCTCGGCTCTACGTAGATAACCAGGATACGTTGCGGCGTATTCAGAGTGGGATGGGTTATTCAGGACACCAATGTCGAACAATGATGCGTTGGCCGAAAACATTTTCAGATAGAACAATGCCATGTTTCTCTCTTCGTGTATCTCATTGAATGAAATGTTAAAATTTGTATCCAACTCCGACAAAACCTGGATTAAATTTTCAATAGACAACACAATGATTTCCTGAATACCTGCTCGTTCCATGAATGGCATTCGTTCGGAATGACCTTCATTAACAAAAGCGTTAATGGTGGACAGTTTGTATTCAAGGGGCTGCATTAATATATCCATAAACGAGAAAAATGGCAACTTTGTCGATGATTGTGATCCGAGATACTGAAAAAGTAGTTCCTTCGCCATTGTGTCTATTTCAATACTGTCCTCTAAGATGGCCGTAAGTCCCCGGAAGGAGTTATAAAGATGGTCAATCATATATCTATTGTTAGCTTGAACGCTCTGGAGCCATGCGCACTTTGGCTCGGAACGGACATAATCGTGACAGATATGGGTTAGAAGACGGGTAGCTTCCCCTCGATAACGCTGAATGGCTACCAGGTACTTGCAGATTATTGTTTGCCGACCTCTGCATCCTTCTGCAACATAAACGAGAACTATCTAGAGTAAAGTATGAAACATTGTCAAATATTGTCTCGATTTTCGTGCATTTGAATGCATTTCATTCATCATTTTCTGTAAAAGTCAATTTGAACTTAAACGAAATCATTATTTGGACGTACGAATTTTTAAGGATCTATGGGAGTTATTATATAAAAAAAAATCAGTTCCTTTTTTGCAAAATCGTCAAATATGTACCGGCTATTTTGGTCTAGATATTTGCAGAGCCCTGAAATACATTATATTTTGCAAATGAAACCCTGTTTATGTAATGTTGTATCAGAAATCATATCATTCGGGTACAATTGACTGGAATACAAATAAAGTAAATGTATTTATAAAATACAACAATGTTGGTAGAAAGGTGATAGCTACCTTTGACCATGTCTTCAGTAATTTCTGTCCCAGTGCTGAGGTAAGGGCATTCAGGGGCACCTGTAAGGGTATTGAATCGATAGAAATGTTGTCATCAATAATATTAAAACATCTTTTATAAAAATAACAGAATGAGAAACCAATAACCAAAAACATCACATAATTGAGGTAAATGTTTCTATTTTAAAGTTCAACAAGCCTCCTAAAAGATGGCATAGATACTCTAAATTTCAATTCGGTAAATTATATATCGTATTTAAAGACCATAATCAAAAACAGGAATTCAGAGATGAATTAGGATTTATAGAACGTTTAATATTTGCTATAAAATGACATAAGTGAATTTAGCTTGGTCTGTTATTCCGTCTTTGCGTTTTGCAGAGTCATCTTCTCTTATGAGCAGGTATTGAATGTTACGTCATTGGTTTGTGTGAGAAAATTACGTCGTTTTCTCAAAAATTGATGACGTTACTCTCACAAACAAATGACTTAACTATCAATACCTGCTCACAAGAGCAGATAACTCTGCAAAACGCAATCACGGAATAACAGACCAAGCTAAAGTCACTTATGTCATTTTATAGCAAAGATTAAACTTTCTCTGCAATACGAAAAGACGGAGTATGGTGTTAAGACTATAGTGATGTCTGTATGAAAACAGTTCAATGAAACAATGGCATATCGATCTTTTTGTGCAACAACCTTAAAGCGTCGACCTGATAACGTGTCATTTATACATTAACATGACGATACGATACGAATCACGATACTGTGGTCACGATACGATACGCATCACAATAAATATATAGTAACAATAGAAGCAGAGAGAAAAGATATGTTGCATTTTAATGGCAATGGAGCAACTTGAAATAGACTTGGTCTATAATTGGCAGGACTTTAAAGTCTCGCACAATTCACGCCTTTCGACGTGCTGCTGCATGCCTAGCTTTAGCTGTCAATCGCCATGCTGTGACCAATATAAGTAGACTTAATTCGGAAACGAAAAAATCCTGAAAATATCGTATTTGTGTCGCAACCTCCCAAAAATATTGTGTATTGGACCGTATTCAAAATATCGCGATATATCGTTCCAGCCCATGACGAGAGTCGAACTGAAATCCTGTATGCTCCCCAGGGAGTTGAGAAAGGTTTTGGCTGGTTGCAACGGCCCTATAACCACGGATAATATTTTTTGAACCGCTTTGAGACGACTTACATACTAGGTTGTGATAAAGCGGTATATAAGGACCTCGAATTATTATTGTTATTATATATATACGTGTTATTTGGGAAACCAAGGCTGCGTGACCTAGATCGATTGGTGAATGTTAGATGATGTGTCATTCCATCAAATTCAATGTTTTTATAAGTGAGCTATGAAATTGTTAATAAAAATCAGTGTACCGTAAAATCATACATTTTCGTGGGACATTAAATTTCGTTTATTACGTGGATAACAAAAATCCACGAAATTAATTCCCCACGAAAACATAAATTTGGTATGATATAAATAGGAGAAAATCAAAAATCAGTGAAATATATTGTCCTTGAAACAGGCTAGTATATGAAAACCACGAAATTTTAAACCCACGAAAAAATAAATGATTCTACAGTATTGTTTATAGGAAAAAAAATCAACCTCATTTACATTAACAATAGACGTTACCAAATGAGACGCTATATAAAGCGATCATTTATTTCTTATGGGGTAACGTTAAAAGTAACAATGCTATCTTTTAGGGGGCATGTTGAATCTTCAAGACATTATATGATAATGAAAGTAGCAATGCAGTATTATACTTTAATGAGATATATCTCAAATTTGAATCCACAGTGGTTAGAATCACTTCATCTTTTTCTCATCATACTTAAATTTCACGGCTTGTTAGCAAGGCTGTACGCATGAAGTCTTTTGTATAGACTTGCAGTCCGTGATTTTGTATTGATGAAAAGTTTTTCTTTTCCTTTTTTCTAATCTAAACATTCATATTTTTGTTTTTTGAAGATAAAATATTGTTATAGCTGTACTGATATAAACGTCACAGTTTGGTAGTTGACAGGAATGTATACAATTCGTGTATAACAGTACGTTATTCAGTATTAAAGTCATTGTTTATAGTAGAGAAATGTGTATACAGTTGTTTTTGAACTAGGAAGACATGTGAAAAAGACAAAACACGAATATGGGAACAGATTGTCATTACATAATGTCATTTGTTCGGGTAAATGAGTCACTTCCCGTCGCTTATGTCATTTCAATTTGTACAATGCCGTGATTTATAAATATTAGCTATGTCATTTCCTAAAAGTTATAAATAGTATTTTTATTCATGAGATAGATACGTCATGACATCACTTCCCATAACTTTTTTGTTGTTGGTAAGAATCGATGGACGTAGGTAAAAACCGTCCAAGTTTTCAGTTATCTCGTGTTAGTTATAATACACACTGTCACAGCAGAGTCTACTTCCGAGACAAACGACAAACAATAACCTATCTTGTAAATGTAAAATATCAAATGAGATAGGACTGCAACAAGTATGTTATCATATTTGTATGAGCTTACCTATTTGACTATTCCCTGTCGGTGCCCCACACAGCCACAGAAAACACATCGTCACGAGAATGAACCCCGTTGACAGGCCTCTTCTAGGGCTGGAAGAACAAGGTGTTTTGATGTTATTAAAAGTATCTTTTAATATTGAAATGAGTACATGAGTAGTAACGTTTTCTGTGTTAATCAGAGATGGGTTTAATGATTGAATAACTTTTTTTTTTTTACAAATATTTTATATATAATTATATTAAAAGAAAATGTCTGCAAGAATCAACCTTGAGGATTTTTTTTTTCATCCTGATTGGTAAGCCTAATAAAAATAAAATCGAAATAAATTTTCTGAACGCCTCTGCAGTGTTATATATGCCTACACCAAACATTAAACGTAAGACACAGTACAATCACAGGCACGTATTACATGGTTAGAAAAAGTTATCGCCCTACAATGGTAACTAATCCGAATCTAGCTCTCTCTCATTCTCTCTCTGTCTCTCTTCATCACCTCTTTGTCTCTCTCTCATAACCCATATAATATGACCTATCAGCCCTGTGATTGGTTAAAAGTTTCAATTATTTCGTCACGCCTAGGACAAGTACATGAGTCGACGTCATAGACTTACGCACTGGAGTCAAAAGCTGATTACATTTCAAGGTTGCATGAAAATTTTCGTTTTACACGAATAAATGTCACAAATCTTGATTATGAGATAAAAAAAATGATCTTACACCCGTTTTCATTTAGTATGAAATTTATGAAACTCTTCACGAATTTTTCATTTTAGCTCGCCAGAGGCTCACTGAATCGAAAAATTATCAGACTCGTTTCATAAATCTCATATGAAATGGAAACTCTTGTAAGATCCTATATGACCCTGCGGTTGTTATTGATATATTGCTTTGAGCGTTCTCGATTGACTTTATTCTATTGTATGGCCTATACTAATAACATCAAACTACATGATATATAACATTGGCAGACTTCATGGAACGTTGAAAGACGTTCAGATTTCAGTTACACAGGAAAACACCCCAAAAGTGTGCTTTTTTTCATCAGTCGAACCTGAATCCAACACATGATACAACCTTACGTGTATTGACAGACGAGGATAGTGTCTGTGGTAAAAAATGCGACAAGTGGCAATTTATGTTTAAGTCAGTATATAATAATACTTATCACTGAATACGACGTAGGTGTTTTTAGCTCGGTGAAGTTCAAATTACAACATCCTTATGATTCAAATAACCTACATTAATAAATTGATTTTTGGAAGAGGATCTGATCGTAAATTACTAGACCGGCCACCGTCTCTAGAATATTGAATTACAGTGGCGGATCCAGAGGGGTTTTTTGGGCTTCAGGAACCCCCNTAAGAAAAAAGTTTAACTCAAAACTGTTTGATCACTTGGATGTCTGATTACAGCCAAAGTTCTAAACTAGGGGGAGATAAGCTAGTAGTAAAATGCAGCTGAGAAATTCTTCATAAAAACTTAGGGGATGGTAGCCAGTCTACTAAATTACTAATGCAAGTAATGACAATTTTCCGTCGGAAATAGGTAAAATAATCTTACCCGCAAAACATCGAGAACAGCGGCATGGCGGTAAAGTTTGAGAAAACATATGCCATATCAGTTCTAGTTATATGATATTAAAAGGAAATTACAAGCTGATTCATATTCTAAATGTAAAACACAATTCAGGTTAAATTAATCAGCCCATAATTTAAAAGAAGAAATAAAACAGGAAAAACCTCTATTAAGTCTTTCAATACATGCATGTGTAAATAAGATTCTAGACTGTTCAAATGGGTAATCTAATACAGAATTATTTTTTTTTATCCCAGCCGGAAATACGTCATGTTACATTTTGTGTCTGTGTGTGCCGGTATTCACCTGTGTAAGTAAATCAATAGTGTACGATAGAGTGCGGGACGTTGTCGAGAGCTAAATTTATAAACATTAAAGCTGGCATAGAGTGTCGACTTCTGGAGATCGATTTTCACCAACCACATATATATACGTTCTGCAGGTGTATAGGATTACACAGTGCTTACACAGTCCTAGTCAAATTACGCCACCGGGGAAAATATATACACATGTGTGCGTGACCTCAGACAAAAACATTGACTAGTGCGTTCGTAAAAAGCATTGTGCCGACCGAGATGTATTTGTGACATGTAAACAGAACTTGTGCTCAGGGAATCACGGACCGTTTATCTGAAGGTTTGTATCTGTATGTTAACGTTTAACACAGTCTTTTTCTGTTGTTGTGTTATCTGCATTCTAGTAGACCTATGGCCTGCTGCTTTGTCTCTCAGTAACAATGAGTTGCGTTTGTAGTTTGTCATTGTAACCAGGACGCTGTAATTGACCTTGACATGCTGATGATGTGACGTAGGTTACAGTAACAAAGACATGTCTTGCATAGTCAGCTTTGCCTGCTTTCACTACGTGAACGAACACTGAAGTTGTTTGTTACGGGTTCCCAACCCTCTTTCTAAATCGTCCGATCTCTTGTCCTTTTATACTACTGTTAGCCTCTCCCTTCCCCGATCCGTCAAATCCGACCCTCATCACGAATCTAGGGCCTTCCTTCTTCACATTGTTTCATCGGTAACGCTGTCGAAATACTTCCGTCATGATATCTTCACATATAATCGTCGCGCATGAATAGATACCACACCAGAGCAATACAATTGTGTTGCTAAGCAGAAAAAAGCCAAAATATGGTGTTTCGTTATATGTGCGATGGGTTTGAGTCCTCGTAAACGTCCAGAACCAGTGTGAGAATCAGTTAATCAATACAAGATTCAGACACATTTACACTAAGGCATGTGGTCGAAGATGATACGACCAATGGCCTGCTGTGGTATCCCGTGTAGTACCGTGTGGGATGCACGTGATTCTCATTTGCTATAACATCATATGTATATAGTCCTCAGGCTCATGACCACAGGGACTTGAGAATGCTCATGACCATAGGGACTTGAGAATGGATCCCAGGAGTATCATTGTTAACTACTGGACGTTTAGGGGTCCAGATCAGCTTTCTATATTAAAATCATTTATAAAGGCTTCCCTCAATGATGTTACATACAACCAAGCGCTGATCTGAACCCTTAAAAGATATGAATGTCGCCCATATTACATGTATATCGGGATATGATACATATAGTTGTATATAATGAATTATCAGGTCCCTGTGCTCATGACAATGTCTCGATCCTAATTTATGGGTCAATATGCGGAGTCTTTGCTTGTACATTATACAAATTGAGTCATGTCAAATACATTCCCTATACAAATATATTTTCAAAACGTTTACATGCCAGATCTATTAACTAGGTTAGCGTATTTAACCCCGCTTTTTCATTAAACACCAGACCTGCCCTGGATTAGAGCCATGATACAATATCTTCCAGGCCACCGACCTTACGGTGACCTATCCTATCCAATTCACAAACAAGTATTTTACTGGAACGATTATTTAGCCTAGTCTCTTTTTTTTCTTTTTTTTTTTTTTTCATAATCTAGACGGTTACAAAGGTAACTCTATGCATTACTTTTTGTGAACGGGTACGTGGATAATGGCACGTAGCATTTCTTGTGATAAACGACTCTGGCATTGGTTGTAGCGTGTCCTAAAGGGACACTAAGGCTACACCGTACCGTTAAAGGTCATGGTCATCCGGCATTCGATCATGCACAGCTTCCCCACTCCATAAATAAAATAAATAAAATAAAATATACAACATTTGATATAGCGTCCTATCTAGCTAACATAAGCCACCTTAAAGCGCTTTAAAGTACGTAGATATACAATTTTATACAGTCAATACAATTAAAAGCATATATATTGATCAATACAATATTGAGGAATTCGCAGGAGCTGCCTTATCAGGCGCTAACTACTAGTCCTATGCCACCTGGCTAATATCTCCCTATGTGTGTATGCCTGTATGTGTGCTGGAGATGTATTGTGTTGTGCATACCAGCATATGCAGCCCTCGGGATTCATTACGTGTACGTACCTAATTAAGCATGTCTGTGTTGTACATTGCAGTCTTTCTAACGTAGTGATCAAAGTCCACATTCACTATTTATAGAACATAAGGTTTTACGTTTAGTGGCTAACATTGACTTTGGATGGTCTGGTTAAAGTATATGTGTTGTCCTTGGCAGCTACATCGATACTGTCCTTGAAGCAGTGACGTCACATCAATTGCTCTTTAAATTACCGAATCTGCACATTTATATTGAGGACGATGAGCGATGTGTAGAATGATTTGGTGAAGGAACGCTTTATTTTACACATATACAGTAAGTAATGACTACCTACTAAACAACCCTGGATTTCGGCCAAACCTATGCCTACGTTTAACTTAAATCCGACATTTTTATCTTGTCTACATGCCTTCCAAAGCCCAGTATAACAAACAGTGTTGTTTTAACCTTTACGAAATACCTGTAGCGAGACATGTATATCTCGGCCATATCAATTCACGACTCTGAAAATAGAAAAAACATAACTTTGAATAGACTGAAGATGAACACGAATTTAATTATAAACTAAGCAGTTTATGATAGCAGGTTTAATCAATCTTTTATTTCAAACGTGATCAGTTGATATAAAAAGGCTCATTCTAACATGGCGAACACAAACTTGTGTAGTGCCCACGGGTTGGACCTGTAATTGTTAAGTCCAAAGTCCACAGGTACAGGTAAACGAGACTTGGTAGAGAGTAGGTCGATAGCCAATTTCACAGTGTAAACCAACCAGCAGTGTCACTTTGAGGATATATACATGGCAACCGCATGATTTCCGGAATTATTTAATATCAAACAGCTAGAATCTTCTCGTTGAACTAGCACTTTCAAATATTTTTTCATGCACATGCATGGCAGTTGAAACCCAAATACATCAAATTCGAGTAGAATAGTTCAATTTAGCAAAATTTTACAAATCCTCTTAAAAACGTTGAAATACCCAGCTAATTGTACAACGTATTCAGTTACATTCGTGCAGGCATGTCGACAGAATACACAATGCCAAATGGATATCTATGGTACATTACTGCCCTCATTCTATTAATTATTATAAGAACAAAAAATTGAAATGTCCTACATTTAACATTTTGCAAAATGTGTCCCCGGCCTAGCGCGAGTTTCCTCTGGCCCGGACACCAGACTTAGACATTTTGACCGATATAGATGTCTGGCGTGGCTATCCTGGCCTTGTCTATAGGTACACGTATTCCCCGAATACACACGTGTCAGCTAGCGCTTCTACCAATGACTTTCCATACTTAAGCAAAAATTGACGATACATGTCTCCCAAGTGAAATATGTCATTTTATAGATGCGATTTACAGAGTTCTTGAGTGCGCAGCAATCGTATACTGACAGAATTGTAGTAGGTTCGCTGTCGGGATCATATACTGTTAAAGTATGAAACTACAGTGTGCTGTTGTGATGTGATGTGAATGTCCGGGGGTAAATATTATCATGTACGTGTTACCTGATATCAGACAATAACAGGAGTAGATATAAGGCGTTTATTTACGTTACTTTAAACGGTCAAAAGTATTCTAAAATACTTTAAAACGTTTCACAAGAAAAATCGAAATAAGCGAATATTTTACGTATGAAAAAAACAAACATTCGTTTTATTGTTCATGAGTTTATATTTCCCATCTAATGAAACATTTGTTTGACGTTTCGACAAATAACTATCACATTAGTCAGCTTGTCTGTATAAGAAAATGCTCCTTAAAACTTACTCACAAAGTGACATTTAGGTGTTATTTTGTGTGAGAGAAGACAAGCGATGACCCCCCTCATCTCGATTCATAACTGGTGAAATACGCATTATCCTCGTTCCAAAACGTTTCTTTTATTTGCTGCTTGAACACAAAAACTAATCAGATTTATTTTTTGAACTCTTCGGGAGCCCATATATAGACACCACTTTCTATTATTTGAGGTTACTCCCAACATGTCCCTAACATGACACCGCCAATATCCGGTCAATATCTCTGACGGAATACTAAGGACTTTTGAGTAATATCCTATTCAAAGCAATGATATTTTGAGATAATTTAGAGTAATCAGGAAAAAGATTCCCAATTCCAAGCGGAACAACAATCGATGTGAAATAATGTCTTATGAAACGTTTGTCTTTTTGATACAGAACTGTCTTCTTATTATATAAAAGGAATACTCCTTTCACATCATTTTCAAAAATAACAATATTCATTCAAATTGTTTCGTAACTCTTCGGTATTTCTGAGAACAAGAAAGCAAATACGTCATTGACCGTGAAAATAGCCTAGACAGTTTGTTAGGTGATAATTGGTGCCGGGCGTAAACAAAGTAAACGTCTTACATAAGTACATGTATATATATCTTTTCTGTGGAGGAAACTGTCAAGTCATTGGTAGATCTGGCTATCGTAGGTAGTAGGTACACTGGTGTACTATAGGAATCGTTTAAGACATGTGTATGTTATTCTTCTGTTCCAGGTACTCTCGAATGTTTTATTATTGCCCTCACTTCAGTGACTACAATTGTTGAATCAGAAATCGGCTACTTATTTGTGATTTTTTTTTCTGTCAGTATCTTGTGATTGTATCGTTTGTATTTCCAGATTTCTGAACTTCAAGTATGGCGGTGTTTGAAAACATGTGTGCCTTGCTTCTGTTCTCTATGGAGAGTTACCACGTGACTAGTCACATCATGGTAATAACAAGAACTCGTCTCCTTCCGCGCAAAGATCTAGTCCGCCTCCGATTCTATTTCCTTGTCGACCTGCTAACAGTATTCTGCTCCTCAGTATTATTTCTACAACGACTTCAGTGGCTGGCGGGGATACAGATTCTACAACATCTCTACTATTTTGTTTTCTGGGAGAAAACGAAACCAGCGAAAAAGGTTTGTGTCATCTTCCTGAATATATAATCAGGGGTTTACAAAGTATTCCTTCTTTGTGAATATTTTTCAAGAAAAAAACAGTAATTAAGTATCCGCCAACGTCATGCACACTTACTATTAAGTACATCGCTAAGATGTCTTGACTTAGCTAACGTCGTTATATTTAAAAAAACAAAACATATTTTAAGTTCGATATAAATTAGTTAATTCAAATTGAAGTTAGACTACTAATTTCATATCACATTGCTGAATTACGATGTTTAAGTTATTTGACCTCTTTATGGAGTTAGGTTTAGGGGGCTTGTTGTACCTTTTGATTGGTTTTTAATTGTTTAACGTCCTATCAACAGCCTAGGTCATTTAAGGATGTGCCTCCATGTGTGTTGTGTATGCGTGCTTGTGTATATGTGTGCTGGAGACAGGGTATGTTGGTGCATTTGCCTCCTTGTGATAGTGCAATCTGATGCCAACTTTATAGTGCTACCTCACTAATATACCATGTCGAAGGCACCCAGCATAGCCTTCCGCCTGATCACATTATACTGACAACGACGCAGGTGAACCAGTTGTTCCCCTAAATGCTGAACGTTAAGCTCTGGTACGCAAGTGAATCCACTAAATGGTCGGGGAAAACAACAAAAAACGAAACATTGCTTATAGCATGCTGAATGTGTCTTAAGATATTATGGATGCTGATATAAAATATAATTTAAAACATAGCGAATAATACATGCCTTTTATTATGTAACACCCAGTATCAACCAAAGACTGTAATATCAGCCCAAGGGCTGATATTGGTCGAGGGTTGATATTGGTCGAGGTTTGATATGGAAAAAGGCGTGTTTTATTCTGTTTATTACAAACTTACTAATAAAAGCTACTATCTTATGATCCATTTTTCTTTTGAAATATTGAAAAACGAAATATTTCCCAAAGGGGTGTGATACGGGTTTTGCGGGCCGATACGGAGAGGGCTGATACGGGTTTTGGGGTGTGATACGGCGGGGGCCGATACGGGTTTTGGGGTGTAATACGGCGGGGGTTGATATGGGTTAGAGCAATTGTGTCGTATCGCATATACAAAAAAAACACCTGTACTTATTAGTAAGTATGTAATAAATTATTTTATCGTAGAATGTCTGAGTTTTGCAAATTACTTTGAGTAATTTACCGTCTGGAAAATGATTATGAGACAGGCAGATCTTAAAAATGTGTATACTTATTTTTTCACCGGCGTTCGCCTGTTCCCGTTCCCTCCTAATTATGAACCGCTCCTTAATGAATCAACTATCGACTGTACATTACCAGTCTCTTACTGTTTCCAAGACAACAACACTTTTGTTTATCATACCTTTTTTATGTTGATGCCGAAAGTCTGTCAGGTAGACATCAAACGTAACATGGTATGCTGCAAATCGCTAGAATTTTGACGAGTACATTGTATCGGCGACTGTGGGTCAATATTTACTACTTATTATGTTTTGACTTGGTAATACAATGTCCTGATTGTGTGATCACGGGTGTTAATGTAAATGAGTTACGTGGAACCTCTCATGAAGCCCAACAGTAAATCTAATTTAACGTTTGCATTCGTATTTTTTTTTAATGTATATTCTGGATATGATATTCAAATTCTCTATGATATTCCATTGAAAAAAAGTATATTGTTGACTGTTACTGATTTTATCATACATCTGACTTTTCCAGATAATCAGTTGGAGCTCCATTGACTGGACCAAGAGTGAGTTCCAACAGGAATGGCACTTCGACTCAATCCTTGGTACCTTGTTCGACATTGTAGTCCACCTCGCCTTGGCAGTACTTCTCGGGGGTTACTTGACCACTGTCCAGATCATCGTCTCCTTGTTGGTGGCCCACGGTGTCCTGTTTACGTTTATATGGAGTCAGAAATTTGCTTGGAGCAATCCGTGGTCTCCCCCACAGTGGGTCCAAAAGAGAGTCCAGCCCGTGACACTGGACAAAGCCCGCTGGTTTTAATGGTCAAGTCTCTTAAACTGGACAAGACCATGTCTTGGTGTGCAGTGGCTGTTTAATGTAATGTCTATAGCTCTTTCTCTTATTTATAATAATTTAAGAAAAGTATCTTCCTCCAATCATACGTTTTTATGAAACTGATAATGTTTGAAAGATATCTGGTCCAATAAAACGGATTCAATCAAATCTTCAAGGGGAAGCTAAAGAAAGTGTTTCCCTCTAATCATAATTTCTGGTTGTAAATCAGAAAATACATAGCATTGATTTTGATATAAAAACAATATCATTTTTCATTATCAATTTTATAAATGAAATACGAACAATAATCTAGCTGACTGAGTTAGAGATGTTGAAATATGTTCCAATATTGATAAAAAAAAAATCTGCTGCTGAAATCAATTTTCACCAGACAAAACAATAATTATGTGATATTAATCCATGAGGTGGACAAATTACCATAACGGTGACAAGAATACGACATAACATTGTGTTTAATATAAGTCAAAAGCTGAGTACCTTACTGATTTTTATAATAAGTATTTAGATGAAGCATGAATAACATAAAATCAATCCATGAATTATAAGTGCAGTCCTGGAAATATGTTATCTGGTTTCTGGTATCTGTTAACCATAGGTGTTTTAACTCTGGGGTGGCCAATAATATTCAGGGGTGCCTGAAAACTGCGTTTTGAACATAACGTGACGTATGGTATACGTTATGATATTATATATATTAAATTTCAACAGTTGTAACAACCTTTTTAAAATATCTATTAAAAGCAAGCTATTTTTTTATTTTTTTTTAAATGAGTTCAACACACTCACACAAGTGATTGATTAAGCTAATGAGAAATCGTAGATTGAAAATGGTGTAATGATTTCCAATGTTAATTGATATAATATGGACTTACATAGCGGTTAAAGATGTGAGATAGTGATTCTTTACCTGATTTCCTACCTCACAGTTTTTTAATAAATAGTGTAAATTGCCTAAACTTGTCTACTAGTATATCGCCCAGAGTTTTGTGTTGAAAGTCGTTATTCGAACTAGGGCAATGTAAGAACAAAAGATAACTTAAATGGAAACCTACAAAAAAAACCCAATGAAAATAAGACTAGTGTTCTGGCATGATTAGGTCTTCTTTATCAATCATTTTGTATAAACTAGAAAAGACCCATTGTTATGCCTCCTTATAATTATTAAACGTGGCTATTGACAATAGTCGTTTCTGATAGGTTACACTTATATTATTGTTATATGTATTGATTTCTTACTAGCTAGAAATGTTTATTGCAAGTATTAAAATCTATTGTTCTTTAAATTAGAAGCTCCTTATATGGTACTATGACACAAATGTGAAACCGGTGCGCCCAGTCAGTTAGGAGAGCAATAAAAATAATTCGTGATTTGACCAAATTATTTGGGTCGCTCTTAATTTGTTGATTGTATATATACTAATGGTGAAAGTGTGTAGTACTCTGTTTGGTGTGCTTAAACTGACAAATGAATCATAATTGCATTCCATAATCTGAAAAAAGAGAAATTTTGTCGGTATTTAGTCAATAACAAATCCCTCTATTCAATGTTTTACTGTCTAGTTCATGTATTTGTTGAATTTCGACATCTATGTATTTGAATTAGAAATGAAATTCCCTTCTTAAAGCAAAGGGACCAGAGCATTTTGATAATGATAACAAAGAAATACTATTATTGGTGTCAAAATATTTTGTCTTGCCCATGTTATCTTCTAAGTCTTTGTATGCGTTCTGTCATGCAAAGCACAAATCTCTGGAGACCAGATATCTGATTTTTTTATCTAAAAAAAGGAATATTTCGTGATGGTTTTTCCTGTGCATTTTTTATTATTTAGTCTACTTTTTTTATATTTTGTTCAACAAATCTCAATTTTTGATTGATGCGATAATAGATCTGTGGCAATTTATGATGATCTTTTTTTACAAACGTGTACCTTTATGTACCTATAAGTACGAGTTTAATGTTTAATCAAAGTTTTTTGACCCAGTTAGAAGATATATCCTGATACAGTGATCTGACATTGTTGCTAACTCTGTATCATCAACATTACATTACATTACGTTGATGCTATTTTTATTTGATCTGTGTTGTAAGCGCGACCTGGGTTGAATTAAAAACAATTATTCTAAACGTGTAGCTGATAGATAAATGTACCACTCACCTGTGATTGTACCTTTAAAGACAGTACATGGTTTGTTGTAAATAGGTACAAAATGAATTACTTTGCGTCATACAGCTGTTTCCCTCCTTCATGGTCTCACCGGTGACAACCATCCTTCTTAATTTCTTGACCCCCAAAAGACGGTTTGTGTGTATTAATTGAGTTTTGGTGGTCGGGTGGTGCAGTGGATAGCGCACTTGCTTTTCACCAAGCCGGCCGGGGTTCGATTCCCCGATCTGACGTGAAAAGGTTGCGGGTCACCTGCCTGAATACGTGGGTTTTCTCCAGGTACTCCGATTTCCTCCCACACTAAGACCCCCCGCGCGCTAACATCCGGGCCAACAAGAGTGATTAATATAAGTTAAAATAACTTGTTTCATAATTGTTGTAAAATAAATAAAGTTTATTATAATTGAGTTTGAACGTTGAGACGGATTTAAGATTACGGGCCAAGTTCTATGACAATATGATACATTGTAAGCTACTCAATGTATGTTTATACTTACTTGCTAACGGCATGGATTGAAGCTAGTCATGATATAATAACATTGATACCTCGTTAGTGTAGACCTCCATATCGGGACATCTCTATTTCCGGACAAAACTGATTTACTAATATATAAATTTCATTATTGTGGAGTTCACAGGAAACTGATATGATGCCCGTTAACAGGAAGGAAACACTACTGATATATCACCGAGTTGTAGTCAGGGAACCAGCAGTGTTGTATACACTGTTTTATTGAAAATGTGTTTTATTGATTGTGATTATTTAAACGAATAACATGTATCCGCATTCTGTTACCCTATTCTTATTTTTATAAAAAGTAATAATGTGTTCGTGTCCAAACTATTTAAATAAATTTACTTTATACCTCTCCCTGTTCGTTGTAAACACAACATTATCTTAATCTGATATGAAATTTAAAAAAAAAAACAACAATTTATTGTGGATATTATGCACCGGTCAAATTGATGGTTTTCCTGTATTTCTAGACGACATTTTTTTGCGCAAAATGGCAATATTCTGGCTTATTATATATTCAATAATGGTCAGTTTTTCATTCTTTTCAAAGGACACCGCCTTCTTAAAATCCAGTAGATAGTAAAGTAAAAAAAAAATGTGTACATCCATAATGACCAAGATCTGCTGGGCTGTTTCATACTGAATCTCTGAATTACATAACGCTAACTAAGAGTTAGGAATGTATTGTATTACGGTCATGTTTATAAATGTCACGTGTGATTAAATGTCTGTGATTATTTTACCTGTGAAGAATAACATTTTGCTACTTTCATATTCGTATCACAAGGTGATGGGTAAAATCAAAAATAAGCATTTGCGATATAATTTTAACAGTGTCAAATTTGTTAATTTTGATTATTAAATTGAGATGGCGTTAATTTATATTGCGTTTGGTTTGTAATTTATTAGCTGTAGTGTTTGCTGGGGTTTCGTTTTATTTCTCCAAGGAAGTGATGTGAAAGGGGAAAACCCGTCTTTTTCTTGTGGACTCCGTAGCTGGTCATGCTATTATAATCTTCATCAGCGTCATCAAAAGTAAAAAAAAATCAGTTTTTATTGTTTCCATGGATAACTTATTGGCAAGGGGTTTAATCCATTGACCCTTTCTGTGCTACAGCAATACTGTTCATTGCACTATGTTATACTACTTCAGTGTATTTCATTTTGATTTCATACTTTGTTTATCATAACCTATAACGTACATTGTAGTATTTTATTTAACGCTGAGGGGCGGATCCCAATAGGGGAAATATAGCAAATTCTTTAAAATCCTTCTTCTTCTGTAGGAATAAAAGGATTTTTTCCACATTTGGTCTGAAGCATTCTTGGGTGAAGGGGAACCAATTTTGTATACACCGTGGATCTGGCCCCCCAGGTGCCTGAGCTGTGGGGCCCAATAGGGGAAACATAGCAAATTATTCTTTAAAATCCTTCTTCTTCTGTAGGAATGAAAGGATTTGGTCCATATTTGGTGTGGAGCATCATTGGGTAGTGGGGAACCAATTTTGTATAAACGGTGGGTGTGGCCGCCCTGGGACCTGAGGGGTGGGGCCTAATAGGGGAAATAGACATAAATTTTCAAAATCCTTCTTCTTCGGTAGGAATGGCAGGATTTTGTCCATGTTTGATCTGAAGCATTCTTGGGTGAAGGGGAACCAAGTTTGTATAAACGGTGTGTCTGACCCCGCTGTAGGCATAGAGGTGGGGCCCAATAGCGAAAATAGAGGTAAAATCTTAAAAGTCCTTATTCTACCATAGGGATTAAGGGATTTTATCCTTTTTTAGTGTGGAGCATCCTTCGGTGACGGTGACTCAATTTTGTATAATTGGTGGGTATGACCCCCGTAGGGGCATAGGGATGGGGCTCTGTTTGAAGTTTGTTCTCTATATCTCAAGTACTGGATGGATCTTTCTGAAATTTCATATGTACTAACAGCACCTACCATGGAGTGCTATATCTTTACTTCATGCCAATTACTTACATTATATTCAGGTGAGCGGTACAGGCCCTCTGGGCCTCTTGTTGTGTTATGGCTACATAACATAAAAAATATATTCAAGTCAATCCTTATAATTTAATCTACTATACACAATCCCTGTGGAAATCCACTTTTATCGATGGACTCTTTTCTCTTAGAAAGTATTACGCCGCTGTATCAGCCAATCAAAAGCGACGTTACAAACGGCGACGTCATTTTTTTTTACGTTATGGGCTGATAACATGAATTGTTAAGCCAATGACAATGCTTGTTACAAGCAAGATTAAATTATATGGATATATTATTATAATGCATGGCATTGTATCATTCCGTATTGTCAACTCTCCGATGTGTCTTAAGGCACTAAGAAATAAAGAAACTTAAAGTGTGATTGAACGTATCTAAGTGCTCCCTTTATCTATTACTTCATTATATCATACACAATTGGTTATTTACGTTCTTTCATTCATTCAGGCTTACTTATCACTTCCTTGTAATTTTTTGCAAATATGATAAAAAAATGTACACATAGCAATATTTCATAGAACTTCATTTCTTTAAAAAGTGTTAGTAAGAATCTAAGGGGAGATAACTTTGTTATGTTACTTTGTAACAACTGACGGAAAATACCTCCTCCTGCATTTTCGTACTGTAGCTTGTTGGCATAACTACATACCTTTCAATATGGCTGCCCTTGAAAAATCATGTACTTTGCTTCTGTTTACGTTGGAGAGTTACCTTACGGCTACTCATGTCATGGTGATAACAAGAACATGCAAGAACAAAAACTAAAGATAAACAAGAAGGCGTCTGCTCTACTGCACCTATATTTGGCTATTTTGCTTTAAGTGACTACTTCTCTGGAACTAAGCGATGGGTATCAACTATACGTTGTTGGAAGCATCCCTAGATGGTGTGGATTAACAAGTGTACAACTGGACAGACTGGGCCCCCGGGCTAAGGGGTGGGGCCAAAAATAGTTTATTACTTGGAAATGGTTGAGATCCCCATCCTATAACCATATATACAATTGCTGAGTATGAGAGATGAATGCACATTTGCTTCCAGGATGGCCCTTGGGTCTGGCCCAACCCTTGGAGACGTAGTCCTTTGGTCATAACTTTGAAACGGTTAAGATTCCTAACCCAAAACTAAATATGCAATTGCTGGGAAAAAATAGGCGAACACAATCATGATAGCATTGACCCTGGGGTCTTGCCGTACCCCTAGGGACCTAGTTTCTTAGTCACAATTTGAAAACAATTGAGATCCCCAACCTATAACCATACATGCAATTGCTGAATATAAGGAGACGAATGTATATATACTTCCAGGATGGCCCCGGGGTCTTTACCCTTAGGTCATAACTTCGAAACGGTTGAGATCGCCACCCCAAACCGATATAAACAAGTAATGGGCATGACGAATGCAGTGATGATATTATAATTGACCCTGGGGTTTGGCCACAACCCTAGGGACATACTTTCTGAGTTACAACTTAGAAACAGTTCAGATCCCCACCCAAAGACCATACATACCATTGCTGGGCATGACAAATCTTATGCAGATATGCTACAAGGATTGGCCTTGGGGTCTGGCCATACCTCTGGGATCTGATTTGAAGAACATTTTGCTATGATTGCTTAGATATCCAGGTGAGCGATACAGGCTCTCTAGGCCTCTTGTTATAAATGCAGTACCATAGTGTTTTGTAAAAGATATATAGATCCCTATGAAAATGCATGCGTGGGTGCACGTGAGAAGATATATAGATCCGTATGAAAATGCATGCGTGGGTGCATGTAAGAAGATATATAGATCCCTATGAAAATGCATGCGTGGGTGCATGTAAGAAGATATATAGATCCCTATGAAAATGCATGCGTGGGTGCACGTGAGAAATGCCGGCATACCATGCGATAGCCTCTGGTTACATATGTATCTGACATGTCAATATATCATGCGATAAACTCTGGTTACATATGTACCTGACATGTCAATATACCATGCGATAACCTCTGGCTACATATGTACCTGACATGGCAATATACCATGCGATAAACTCTGGTTACATATGTACCTGACATGTCAATATACCATGCGATAACCTCTGGTTACATATGTACCCGACATGTTAATATACCATGCGATAAACTCTGGTTACATATGTACCTGACATGTTAATATACCATGCGATAACCTCTGGTTACATATGTACCTGACATGTCAATATACCATGCGATAACTAGTAATTAAATATGCATTATCTTGTAAACAATCATGAATTTTGCTAATAACATATAAGTACCTAACTTTTCCACCTAAAACTCAGCCGTGCTTTCAGAGCGCGCACGACAGGGACTTATGGATATTTGGACCTAAACAATGGTGTTCAGAGTAATTTAACACGTTTTAGGCGTTTGATCAATTTAATGTCCCAATTTAGCTGTAACAAATTCTTAAGTCCAAGTGGTTTGCACGACATAATTAGCTCGTGTGCACAGCATATGAAATAGCTGTAAGGCAATAGAGTTGTAACGGTAAGTTCTCACGAGTTACTTCCCCTCTGACAACATTGACTAACGAAGTCTGTATAATTTAATCGAACCGATATTTTTTGCATATAGTAAGGTAATGACATAAAGTGTAAAATTAAGAAGAAGAAAAAACTAAATTAACGAATTACCGTCAGATAATTCAGCACTCTGGAAGGACGCGAAAAACAAACACGAAGCGTTATGAAAACTATGAAACATCAGCAACATTAAACAGGAACATTATCAATTCTAGGCCATTAATCATCCCAGGATACAAACAGGAAGCATGCAAGAACTCCTTCTTCATCAAAACATCGCTTGAGTGGAACCAACTGGATGATACAGTACTGTGCGCAGAAAGCGTAGAGGGATTAAGATCAGCCCTTTCAAACAACAGCCAAGATAATTAGTAATTAGTAATTAGTATCACGGACTAATTAGATAACTAATTTCGTGGTAACATATTCTCTCTCTCCCGTCGTGTCATGCCATTATTGGTAACTACGACGTATACAATGTAAATACAATGTAAATACAATGTAAATACAGTGTAAACGAAATGCTGGGGCACTCATTCATCCAGATACAATTAAAATAGGTATGCGTAATTTAATGTAATTGCAACATGTACGTTCCACTCCATTAGTTAGTGATAGCATCTAACCTAATTCCGTGGCAGGTGGCGGGGGACCCAGGAATTATTTTGGGTGTTGCCCAAAATTTCAAACTCAGAAAAAGACTCAAAAAAATTAATAAATTATAATTGTCATGTCGATTGTACATGTTAACTACTTTCTGGCACCAAATAATATATAGAATTTCATTATTTCTGAGATTGTGACAATTATAATTTCCCTGCCGAGTAGAGCGAGGCGATTTTTTTTTCTGAAGATGTAATACTAAACTTGTTCAAGCACTGCCAAGCGTAGACAGCTAGAATTTATCGGACATTATTACCATTGTCAAACAGATCGAATAAGGCATAGAATAGTTTTCTGAGTTTGCGGTATTATTCCAGGTTATATTTTATAACATAGAGTATTCATATATTATGATGGCCAAGCGGAGCGAGTGTTAACAAATTCTCTGAAACAATGGTAAAAATCTAGGTTTTTGGTTAAAATGTTGATGTTTGTGTCATGCCGCCTTTCATGTGCATGTAGTTTAGGCGAGCATTTTGGCAATTAAATATTGATTTATTTTGTCATAAATAGGAATTATGATTTGACTGAAAGTGTATGCATGCATATGTACAAGGACAACACCTGTTAAAACGAATATATATATACATGCCAGGCTTTTATGCTAACTGGTTATTATTCACCTGATGACGTGATGCTAAGGTGGATGCTTTATTGTCATTGAAATTTTTGAAATTTACATTTTTTAACAGGTATAATAAATCACTCCTGGTGATCATCATGTGTACATGAAACCACAGGTGAAAATACAGGTTTATCGATCATGAAATGGACTCTACCTTTGAAATAACAATTAACATCTTTGATTCCAACAGATGGTGTTATCCTCTCTCAACAGACAGGGTACCGGCGATCATGCATGCCAACACACCGTGACATTAGAACAATACGATTAGGTAGACAGTCCGTTGAGCCTTCACCACTGACCTGACTGGAGACCCTATATATCCCCTATTGTTTAGAGTATAAGAAGTGGACTCCTTGTTTGGGCAACTGCACCCGGCATATATAGATATTCAAACTGCCATAGAAAATTATAGTTCACAGGATGGTTGATATCAGAAGAAAATCCCATATGAAAAAGATGAAAATCTTCAAAACCCTTAGTCCAGATTATTTTTGGACACAGACAAAAAGGGTGTTGCCCGGGCAACACCCCTGGGTCCGCCACTGCGTGGCGTTATCATTACTGTGTAAATCAGAAAAAAATGCTTGGACAGGTTTTGTCACAAAATCTACCGAAAAGCCCCCTTAATTTGTCTTCTATAAAAATGTCTGATTAACAATGATAATTGATTATAAAAAACACATCGAACCCCGGGCCTCCAAAATACACCCCAAAATGTCAGGCTGGCTACTAGCATTAGCTTTGCTCAAGTCCGAGAGAGAAGCTCTAGGACTCATTGCTTTCCTTAGTCTTTCTAGACGTCTCATCCATAAGCGTTTCCGGTGATCTGGTTTGAAGGTAAAGTGAACAGTTTAATACAGTAGAACAACATTAAGCAATTATTTAGTAACGAAGACAAAGATTGATTGATCGACCTGTCAAACGACATAAACAAATCCACGTGCTTCAAAAACCGGAAACAGAGCACTTTCCATCCGGGCATTTTCCAATGTTGTGTAGGAAAACAACATGGCGGCCGGAGACGACTCTGACATTCCAGGTAAGTCTGTGCATGTCGCATTTACCCAGTTAATTACATTAGTGTGCCATTTGGTCATGTTTATCACGTCAGTGGATATACACTTTTTATATGAAAAAGATATTTAGAATGAAATTTGCAAAAACTATTGAGAACGGTGCACTAATGTCATTTTCTTCTGCAAAAATTGACATTGGTCAATATTGTGTTTGGAAAACCGCGGTAACTGATACAAAACAAGCAGTGTCCCCTTCTTCCAGATATGCATCTTGTCAATTACAAGTTTTGAAAAACAAAATATTTAAAGAATTTGATGAACTTGATTTTAACATCCCCACATAACCCGAATAGAAAAAAACACTAATTACTTACACCTAGATACTATCCTGTATAGCATAGCTATTTGTACTTCCATTTACATCTACATCGTTCGTCGACTCAGCCACACTTGACCATTACGCGATCGCTGACGGCTGTCAATGCGAATATTTTAGATTAATAATAACAACACATAGAAACTTGAATGAAGAGTCAACATACTTGTAACCGTCAACCGACAATCATATCATGTTTTACCAATTATTTTCATCTGACAAGTATTTTCTGTCTACTCTTATCGTATAACCGAGCTCAATACCACATTTGATGGAGCAAGAGGTCAAAAACAGTGGTATATAGTGTCATTCACAAAAACTCAGGTTTACAGAAACTCATTCTTTCTGGGCTCGATAGTTAAGGCTGATGAACTGTCTGGTGGAGATTATTGACTACCCGCATCCTTAATAATACATGTATACCAGCAGAATTAAGACGCAGCAGTTCTAACTATGCTACTGTAATCCCAGAACGCTTGCATTTGAGTACAATTCTACCATGGAAAGACATTCTCTTTTGCTAATTTATTGCTATGCTGTATTTGTTTATGATTTTTTATTTCTTTATTTCATGATTATTGTTGTTGCCATAGATATATTTGTAACAGGAAGACCATATAGTGTGTCTCCTCTGGTAATAAAACCAGTGACCCCAACCTTCCCAATCAATCAATGGTGATCCCAAAATCACTCCCAAAAACTGTTACTATGCATAGAAAACTAGCTTTTCTGGCATGATCAAACATATCTGGGAAAAAACCCATACCTTGTGGGACAATTTTGAAAAATAATAGAGATGAAATCGACAACATTTCTTTGAGTGTAAAAAAATCAGTGTAGCCAGACTAACATTCAAACCCTATATATACCATAATGATATACTGTTGCTTAAACCGACTTAGCTACGCAAATATACCTGGTCAGCGGAAGTGTACTGGCCCAACTGTGCTACATTCATCTTCAAAATGAAATTAAAGGAAGGTTTAATTTTGCTGTATATTTTGCAAATTTAATTGTACATAGGATTACGGTTGCCTTCTATAGCTTAATTTGCATTAGAGGGAATTTCCCTTTAGATCAGTGGTAGCTAGCATCCTATACTGGGATAGCTGGTTCCATCCCTGGTGGAAGCACACTTACTCTCTTTCCTGTTAGGTACACTAGCTAGAGTGACTACATGAAGGAAGAGCTGGGATCCTTAAAAATAATTTCTTTCAGCTGGTATATACTTACAATGTATGTAGCTAGAAGTTAAGGCAACTGTAAAGAAAAAGCAAGAAAAATATGCCCCACTAACCCCTAGCTTTCCCCCATTTTTATGCCCACCGCCATCAAATGGGGGGGGGGGGCATATATTGTTGCCCTTATCCGTCCCGTCCCATGATCAAAGTGGGATGGGGGCATTCATGTCTTACAGACCTTTTCTAGGTTTTTTTCTAACTCCCTGTCACCACAGAGAGGGCAATGGATATAGAAAGAGTATAATGTGCTTCGGATGGAAAATGAACCAGCTTGCAAGTTTGCCACTCTACCGAGTACCGGTACCATTCTCAGGGAATTTCCCCATAGGTTGAGGCTTGAATCACTTTGACTGTAATCCTAAATGTACATCCAAAATCTGCCACACATTTAAAGTTTCATCATATATATATCTACTCGAAGTGTCTCACACTAAACGAAACACACATCAGTTCAAATATATACTCCAAATGAAGGTTGGAACTTGAATAGATAAAGAAGACTGTAGCCTATAGCTAAATATGTGCATTCTACTGTCAGGCAGTAAGCCTCTGATACATGTACTGTTAAAATCTGGCTTTTGCACTGGAACATTCTGCTACAAAAGAACACAAATTTGAGATTATGTTTTGTTGCTTTTCATAAATGAATAACAAAATTCTGATGGAAAAAATTAAGGTTGGAAGTGGCCAATATACATGTATATCTATATGTATTTATAGAAAAAATAAGATTTAAGACCGACTAAAAGACTAGCTGCTTTCACCCTTCACAGGGCTCTTCAGGTTTATTCAAAAGAACGACGTCGTGACGCCACAATTACATGTCATCACACTACAATAGTAACGTGACGTCACAAAGTACACAAGATTGGTGGACAATTTAGCGTAAATTTTCATTGTCAATTGAGGCCAACTTACTTGTTATGCCGTTGTCCAATTCCATCTTGTTGTACCGTAATCAGCGGTCCTTTTGATAGTCAACGTTACCTCGACATGTGCGTTGTATGATAAAAAGGGATTTATGTATTTATATATAAATAAAACAAAACACGAAGACTAGTATAATCGGCTAGCACTTTCGCCCAAACTTGGGGCTCTTCAGACGATTTCCTGTATTTATATATATTGGTAATGACGACTTATTTTCGACTTTTGACAGAAATATGTCCAGACACAAAACTGTTGAAGTGGGTTGTAAAAAAAGAGATACAGTCTTATTTAATTTCTAAAAATACTTTTCGGTCAAAACATTGATTTTCATGATCAAATTTACTTTCAATTAATGTTAAATACAATGTAAAATAAAATACTGGGTAAAGAGTTGTTCGAAAGATACCTTAAGCTGTTCTTAAAATAATACAACTGAGCATGAGCAAAAATGAGATTTCCTTTAATTTGATATAAGAAAAAGTTTCTTTTCCCCCTAACCTATTCTCCATTTTTGTAGCCCAATAAAGGATACACAGCTATATCTTTGTTTGGCCTCAGAGAAATGTTTACTGATAATATCAATGGAAAGCTGATTATATGTAATAGAAGAACATTCGTAATTGTTTGTAATTAAATATAGAAAACAGTAGATTTGGTTTGTATGTATCGATCATACACACATATATATTGTCTTGGTTAAAATAGATATTAGAGTATAGATGTATTAGATACTGATCATCCGCCTGCTAAGTACAGCAAAACTCAACTGTTACACTGTATACATAGTACGTAATGTAGAGTATTGATCAGGTAAATAATTCATAGCCACAACATCCATTCTATGTAATTAACAGAAAGTCCATCATTATATCAGCAATTTACAGGGCATACCGTCGGTCTATAGTGACCACTTAATTTAAAAAATTCATCAGCATGAAAAATCAATACCTACCAATTGTAGGCAATTCGCTGGTTATAATATTGATTCAAAAGTAAATTTGTTAAAATTTTATGACGTTTTGACGCATTATGTTACTGTATCATGCAGAATTTCATGATTTTGTTGACTTTTATTTAATTTAAGTGGAAGAAACCTATATGTTAATGTTACAAATTACACTGTATGCATATCTGTAAAAATAAACAACATTATTTTCTGTGTTTTTAATATCTTTGTAACATTTTTGTACTTTATAGCTTCTCAAAGTACAAAAAATGTATTTCTTTATCAAAACTAATTCTTGTTTTCTTCAGAGACCGGTGCCGTGTTTACTTTCGGTAAAAGTAGATTTGCAGAAAACAATCCGAGTAAATTCTGGGTGAAAAATGACAAGGTCTTACAAGTGGCATGTGGAGACGAGCATACAGTTCTTGTTGCAGGTAATGTTGTTGTGGAATTTTTGATGTCATATTTTTTTTTTTATTATTGATCCTAATTGATGAAGACTTTTGGCATGTTGTACATCAATAATCACAGCATGTGTCTATGTGTTTTCGTTTTGACAGAGAGTGGACGGGTTTTTACCTTTGGGGTCAATGACTGGGGTCAGTTGGGCATCGGTAACAACATGGCGATGATGAAACCCACCTGTGTCAAAAGTAAGCAACTGTATGCTCTGTTATAAGGTCAAAAATGTGGAAACTCTTGGTTCCAAATGTGCTGGGTTTACATCCCAGCACCTGGGACTAAACATGTATGCGTATATGCACAATTCATTTCTTTTAGTAAAACCCTATATCTGCTTTTGATCTATTGTTTTTAGATAAAACTGTTTTGAAGGGAAAATATTTAAATAAAAATTTGGTTATCATATACTTTACATGTATTGAAAGATAATTTCAGTCATTTTTTTTCTTATCAATTAATTTCATATATACCAGTCAATTTTTAGTTTTTTCTTGCTCACAACTTGATATCTACCTTTTTCACAAGTTTAAATATATAAAATACAAATAAATCTAGGTCATGCTTATTACTTATTATTTAAAACTGTGTCAGGATATTATTGTTTTGAACAGTGTTGTTTTTTCATTTTTTTCCCTTTTGATGAAAAAATCTTTGATCATGAAATGTGTTCCTTGCAGAGCTCAAACAGGAGAAGGCTGAACATGTGGCGTGTGGTCGTAGTCATACCATCATTGGTACAAGTAAGTGATACTCCCCCTCCCCACTCTGTTAGATCTCCTGCCCCTCTTTTTACAGAGTTATAGCCCTTTGTTAATCATGTATCACTTTTTCTAAGGTATTTCTTATATACCCTGTCACCTACAGGAGTTTTTATTTTTGCGAGCCTTGGCAAACAAAAATTAAAACTTTGAGACAAGTTTCAGAAAAGCTCATGAAATGAAAACAAATTTAAGATACTTTTTATCACATAACTCAGAAAACTTATAATTACATATAGTGAATCAAACGGAGACAGCCATTTTGTTGCGCCAGTCACAATTTATGACGTCATGTCATTGTCCATATTATGATGTCACAATTGATTTCTGACTGGCACAACCAATGAAAAACGCTCCAGGGTATATTACACTAGTGACAAATGTAAAAATATATTGCACGGGCGAATTCACTGGGTAACAGTGATAAATATACATTGAACGGAAAACCATGAAAAAGTGCAAGGAGAGTAAGACAAGCGTCTTTTGACACCCGTCATTGTATATAAATGAATTTGTTGCAAAGAGTGGTAAGATATATGTATCTGTTAAATAACTTATCTGATGTCACTCTCCCTATCCTGTAACAGAGAGTGGTAAGATATATGTATCTGTACAATAACTTATCTGATGTCACTCTCCCTATCCTGTAACAGAGAGTGGTAAGATATATGTATCTGTACAATAACTTATCTGATGTCACTCTCCCTATCCTGTAACAGAGAGTGGTAAGATATATGTATCTGTACAATAACTTATCTGATGTCACTCTCCCTATCCTGTAACAGAGAGTGGTAAGATATATGTATCTGTACAATAACTTATCTGATGTCACTCTCCCTATCCTGTAACAGAGAGTGGTAAGATATATGTATCTGTACAATAACTTATCTGATGTCACTCTCCCTATCCTGTAACAGAGAGTGGTAAGATATATGTATCTGTACAATAACTTATCTGATGTCACTCTCCCTATCCTGTAACAGAGAGTGGTAAGATATATGTATCTGTACAATAACTTATCTGATGTCACTCTCCCTATCCTGTAACAGAGAGTGGTAAGATATATGTATCTGTACAATAACTTATCTGATGTCACTCTCCCTATCCTGTAACAGAGAGTGGTAAGATATATGTATCTGTACAATAACTTATCTGATGTCACTCTCCCTATCCTGTAACAGAGAGTGGTAAGATATATGTATCTGTACAATAACTTATCTGATGTCACTCTCCCTATCCTGTAACAGAGAGTGGTAAGATATATGTATCTGTACAATAACTTATCTGATGTCACTCTCCCTATCCTGTAACAGAGAGTGGTAAGATATATGTATCTGTACAATAACTTATCTGATGTCACTCTCCCTATCCTGTAACAGAGAGTGGTAAGATATATGTATCTGTACAATAACTTATCTGATGTCACTCTCCCTATCCTGTAACAGAGAGTGGTAAGATATATGTATCTGTACAATAACTTATCTGATGTCACTCTCCCTATCCTGTAACAGAGAGTGGTAAGATATATGTATCTGTACAATAACTTATCTGATGTCACTCTCCCTATCCTGTAACAGAGAGTGGTAAGATATATGTATCTGTACAATAACTTATCTGATGTCACTCTCCCTATCCTGTAACAGAGAGTGGTAAGATATATGTATCTGTACAATAACTTATCTGATGTCACTCTCCCTATCCTGTAACAGAGAGTGGTAAGATATATGTATCTGTACAATAACTTATCTGATGTCACTCTCCCTATCCTGTAACAGAGAGTGGTAAGATATATGTATCTGTACAATAGCTTGTCTGATGTCACTCTCCTTATTCTGTAACAGAGAGTGGTAAGATATATGTATCTGTACAATAGCTTGTCTGATGTCACTCTCCTTATTCTGTAACAGAGAGTGGTAAGATATATGTATCTGTACAATAGCTTGTCTGATGTCACTCTCCTTATTCTGTAACAGAGAGTGGTAAGATATATGTATCTGTACAATAGCTTGTCTGATGTCACTCTCCTTATTCTGTAACAGAGAGTGGTAAGATATATGTATCTGTACAATAGCTTGTCTGATGTCACTCTCCTTATTCTGTAACAGAGAGTGGTAAGATATATGTATCTGTACAATAGCTTGTCTGATGTCACTCTCCTTATTCTGTAACAGAGAGTGGTAAGATATATGTATCTGTACAATAGCTTGTCTGATGTCACTCTCCTTATTCTGTAACAGAGAGTGGTAAGATATATGTATCTGTACAATAGCTTATCTGATGTCACTCTCCCTATCCTCTAACAGGGAGTGGTAATGTATGTGTATCTGTACAATAGCTTGTCTGATATCACTCTCCTTATTCTGTAACAGAGAGTGGTAAGATATATGTATCTGTACAATAGCTTATCTGATGTCACTCTCCCCATCCTCTAACAGGGAGTGGTAAGCTATGTGTATCTGTACAATAGCTTGTCTGATATCACTCTCCTTATTCTCTAACAGAGAGTGGTAAGATATATGTATCTGTATAATAGATTATCTGATGTCACTTTCCCTATCCTCTAACAGGGAGTGGTAAGGTATATGCCTTTGGAAACAATGGTGAAGGCCAACTTGGAGTAAATGATGAATCAGTTAACAGCAGCTCTGACCCCTTGGAGGTCAAGGGACTCGATCAGCCAATGAAAATTAAGATGTTGGCTGCCGGGGCTGACCACACAGTACTTCTCACACGTAAGTTATCATGAAAACAATTGGTCAGTGTCACAAAATTTTGATATGCATGATACTAAATAAAATAATTTCAAAGACTGAATCAACTGGCTTATCTATGTAGGTCAGTGTCTTAAAATTTCTGTCTCGCTTTTACTGATGGTCGAATTCGGCATACAAAATCTTTGTTACAGATTCTATAGATTTATTTTGATGCCATCAGTACAAGAAGTAAAAAATCAATTTGTTAGTACAGTACATGTAGTTTTATAAGATTCTGTAACTGCAAGTATCTGATAAAAACTTTTACTGACCTATGCTGAAGGACAGTGTGTAACTAAGATTGACTGAGCCATGGAGAATGACCCGTCCACAAATGTATTTAATGAAAATAGAAATGATGAGCAACAACACCACTGAATCCGGTACAAAATGTAATGTTTCATTTACATCCTGAATCAGGATGTAAATGAAACATTACATTTTGTACCGGATTCAGTGGTGTTGTTGCTTATCATTTCTTTTTTCTTTTGCTCTACTTTCCCTGATGAGCACTGTTGAATACCATTAAGGTATATCCACCCCAGGATCCCTACCGCCGCTATGGAACTGACGTCCTTGAAGGGACCTAGGGGCTCCAGCCCCCAGTTGTTACTAAATGTATTTAATGTTAGAATGTTACATATATAGCTACAAGAAAACAATGATCTCTCCTTTTTTTGGTGTTAAACTAAAGAGTGCTGTGCAATATCAAGGTTATAAAACAGCTATGTTGATAATTGTAAGCATGTCCTGCAAAAGTAATCAGTTTATTGAAAGTTAGTGTCTAACCCTGAGAACATATTTCATTTCCTTGTTTTGTTTGTAGGTGAGGGGGAGGTGTACGTATGGGGAGGAGGTAGTGAAGGACAGCTGGGACTAGGGGACGAGGATGAGTGTCATAAACCGACCCTGTTAGACATTGATAACGAGATCACCTGTATCGGGTGTGGGTACTACCACACAGCCCTAGTCACAGGTAAGATATACCTGTACATATATAGTGTGGGTACTAACACACAGCCCTAGTCAAAGGTAAGATATACCTGTACATATATAGTGTGGGTACTACCACACAGCCCTAATCACAGGTAAGATATACCTGTACATATAAATAGTGCGGGTACTACCACACAGCCCTAGTCACAGGTAACATATACCTGTACATATAAATAGTGTGGGTACTACCACACAGCCCTTGTCACAGGTAACATATACCTGTACATATATAGTGCGGGTACTACCACACAGCCCTAGTCACAGGTAACATATACCTGTACATATATAGTGTGGTTACTACCACATAGCCCTAGTCACAGGTAACATATACCTGTACATATAAATAGTGTGGGTACTACCACACAGCCCTAGTCACAGGTAACATATACCTGTACATGATATACCTGTACAAATATAGTGTTGGTACTACCACACAGCCCTAGTCACAGGTAAGATATACCTGTACATGATATACCTGTACATATATAGTGTGGGTACTACCACACAGCACTCGTCACAGGTAGGATATACCTGTACATGATATACCTGTACATATATAGTGTGGGTACTACCACACAGCCCTAGTCACAGGTAACATATACCTGTACATATATATAGTGTGGGTACTACCACACAGCCCTAGTCACAGGTAAGATATACCTGTACATATATATAGTGTGGTTACTACCACACAGCCCTTGTCACAGGTAAGATATACCTGTACATATATAGTGTGGGTACTACCACACAGCCCTTGTCACAGGTAAGATATACCTGTACATATATAGTGTGGGTACTACCACACAGCCCTAGTCACAGGTAAGATATACCTGTACATGATATACCTGTACAAATATAGTGTTGGTACTACCACACAGCCCTCGTCACAGGTAAGATATACCTGTACATAGTGTGGGTACTACCACACAGCCCTAGTCACAGGTAAGATATACCTGTACATATATATAGTGTGGGTACTACCACACAACCCTAGTCACAGGTAACATATACCTGTACATATATATAGTGTGGGTACTACCACACAGCCCTAGTCACAGGTAACATATACCTGTACATATATATAGTGTGGGTACTACCACACAACCCTAGTCACAGGTAAGATATACCTGTACATATATATAGTGTGGGTACTACCACACAACCCTAGTCACAGGTAACATATACCTGTACATATATAGTGTGGGTACTACCACACAGCCCTCGTCACAGGTAATATATACCTGTACATAGACTGTATTATAGATAAGAGTTTTACTTTACATGGTTCCAGAAAATAATACAGAATGATAGATTTTTCCTGATGATCTTTCAAAAAGAGTATTTTTATTTCCATATTCAAATATTTTTATAAAAAAAAAGAATAGGTATGAGAAGAGCCAGCAAAGGTTCTAAAATTTGTATTTCAAATTCATGTGCAAAATTTTTGAGATGGTTTTTACTATATTTATTTTGACTTTAAACTGATTCCTCAATTATAATGGCATGTACACTGTATGCTACTTTTGTTGGCATTTCAATCAAATATATTTTAAACTGATGTAATTTGTTGTGACAGTGACGGGGGATCTGTATACATTTGGAGAGAGTGATGGAGGTAAACTGGGTCTCGGGGAAAAGAAAGGGGCCAATGTCCCTACCAAAGTCAGTATGCCAGAAAAGGTTAAAATGGTGGCATGTGGCGGCTCACATACAGTGGTGCTTACAGGTAAGAGCTGTTTGAATTATTTAATATCTATGTAACTAGAGTAAACTAATAATTGTTACAGGGCCTTTACATTTCCACATTTTGGAAATTACATTGTATTACTCAATGTGTCAATTTTGGGTATGAATTTTGCCCAATTACTATTAGCACTTTTTACAAAAATAATTTTAATAGACGAGCTATGCTGTTCTCATACAGCTCTTGTTTATTGAAAGATTTGTTAAGAAACAATAAGTTAATTCCTATAGATATGTTGTTTTAATTTCAAACAAGATGGGGCTAGTGATTTTTTGCTCTGTTATAAAATATTAGTCCTTATAGGAAATTCCAGTGGTCATGTTTTATTGCCAAAATTTCCAGTTCGAACTGTCGGGGGCTTTTTTTTCTTTCTAATTTCCAACTGTTTCTTTGTTTACCATCAGTGAAGGGCAATTTGTACACATTTGGTGATGGCCCCAATGGTCAGCTTGGTCAGGGCAATAAGGTCCTACAGGAGTTCAAGCCTCAGCTAGTCAATCTTAGGTTCAAGGTCGTCTACGCTGCATGTGGGGAGAATCACACTGCCGTCATATCAGGTAAATGAGTTGATTTAAATAGTGAAACAATCCATTCAATAGATTTGTCTGAAAACAAGTAAATCAGTTTTGAAATTGTGTCAGGGATATTAGTGGTTTTACATATATGTGAAAAAATACATTTGAATGCGGAGGTGTTTTTGTCGAAAAGATCAGCTTTTGATGATGATCCTTCTCTTTGTATTCTGATATATTTATGTATGGCTTTTCATTAAAAAATTACACAATTGAAGTGTCAAAGCATTTTGAGATTTAACTCATTCACCCCTGAAATTTCATAATGAACTATTCCAAGCTTTGAATAGGAAGAGTTCAAACGTGTCTTCAGGGGTGAATGTGTTAAGCTTGTTCAATTGATTTTATGACATACACGATTTACCGAAAATGTCATGGAGTATGTACTTTCTTTGATGACCTAGGTAAAAATATTTATTCATATGTGCAGTGTCTATCAAAACACTGTGTCAGAAAACTTTGACCTCAATACCGGTCTTTGTATATTGTATAGAGTCTGTAATTGTTATTTTAATCAGAAATATATGTTTTCTGTATGTCAGTGGGGCTAACTTTCTTTTGTCTTGCAGAGAAGCATCAGCTGTTCACCTTTGGGGACGGCAGACATGGCAAGCTTGGCCTCGGTCAGGACACCATGTCAAACATGTTTGCAGCTACTAAAGTGGAAAGATTTAAAAGATTTATAGTTGAAAATGTAAGTTTACAGCTTGTTTTTTTTTACATCAATTTATTCTTTTATTGCCATTTTCCTGTTTGCTTTTCCCTCTTGAATTGACATGTTGATCCATAATAAAAATATCACTAATATGATCTAGTTTAATCCACAAAGATCATCATTGGCTTTATTTTTGGACTGCATGTTGACAACTTTTCAACTTGTTCTATAATGTATTTTGGGTTGAAAAGTCTGTAGCACATTAAGCCGATCAGATAAAGGAACTTTGCTTAGTTGTAAGAATAAGAAAATTAAGTTGCTCGTATATATGTGTATGTACACTCTATACATTTTTATTGCAGCGATGCAAGAAATTCTACCCAGCGAAATATTACTAAAGAGTTAAAACAGGGAATATTTCTCATAGAAAAAGATTCACTTTTACCATTATTTTGATGATGGTAGCCATAATAGTAGCCGCCTTTGCCATTACTTCTCATACTTTTTTAACGTTTAAAAATATAGATCTATCTGTTATACAAAAGTCTCTTTAACTCTATATGTTACTTGATGTATTGGTGAAGGTAGCTATAGGACTCCCAAGCTGAGCTGACTTATCTTATTCATCTTACTTGTCTCTGATCAGGTAACATGCGGAGGATGTCATATGATCGCTAAAGCACACAAACGAACGCAAGATGAAGAAAATGAAAGCGACGAGGAAGACGCAACTTTAAACGAATTAGAAATGGCAAAAAATAAGCTTAATAATTCCATTAAACCAGATGGTACCATAGACCTGGACGGAACCTTCCCGGCCCGACAGCGACGGCGAGAAACACTCAACAGGGTGGGTGTGGACTCAAGTTTCTAAAACTGTTTTAGAATTATATGAAAACCATTCCAATGTTCATTTTGAGAAGAGCTTGGATAGGTTTTGTAGGTAGGGTAAATCAGACTTGGTAAACAAATATAACTTACTATAATTCCATAGTAAAATTTAATGTATATGATGGGGAGTTTTACTTCATTATAAAAAATTAAGTAAGTTGCTTATGTGTTCTTCCTTGATCTCATTGGTGTATTTTTTTTCAAAAGAGTAATGCAACCCTGTAAAATATAAATGCATGTTATATGTGTGTTTCATTAATCGTGTAGATCTGTTTCAATTTTTGGACTACTAACCTTCATCCTTGTGCTAATCCAAGTATAATTTAAGTAACAAAAATAAAACAAAAATATAGATATTTGCAGCAATGAGGTTATAATATTACTCACTTATTTTATTAACTTAATTTACTTTTTTCTCAACAGACGGCATCCATGAATCGTACACTTCCATCATTAGCCAACGGCAAGCCAGCCGGATCATCCCTCCATCACACAGTACCTCCACCAGTAAAAAAGCCAAACCCTACACTCCGAGCCTGTGCTCCTCTCAGTTCTACACAAATTATCAAAAGTCAGTTGATACAGCTTTATACAGTCAAACCTCCAATCTTAGTCTTTGACAATACATGTATGATAAACCTGTGGGGAAAATGGGTATTCATTTTAAGGTATAACCTGTCTGAATTAGACATTACTGGGTCTGGAATATTTGGTCGGTTTATACAGGGTCCATTTTATAGAGTCAGTTATAATTGGTTTCAACATATTGAAGATCTATCTATTTAAAGTTTAAGTAATTTGAAATGTAGCACTAATATGAATTAGAACAGAAAAAGTATTTCCAATGTTTAAAAATTTCTGACATTGTATATGTCTTGGTGTGTTTTTCATCCAAAGAAATCACATATATTTCAGTATTATCTATGAATTTGAAGAATGATGAAAAAACATTGATGTAATATATACCGTCACTGTACCCAAATCGGGACAGTACCCAAAACGGGACACTTATGGGAAAACGGCGCAAGAAACTAATTCAATGCCAAGAAATAATTTTATGTATACGGTTTTCATTTGATAATATTTTTATGACAATTTAACTATATATAAGCTTAATTGGCTGCTGATTATAGTTACATGGACAATATAAAGATAAGAATAATGACCAAATTAAAACTTGCCCAATTTACGTGCCGTGCGACGCTATTTATTTGGGCATTATTTTCAGAAGTCCATTTTATCAAAACTGATGCTAGCTTAGTGAAATAATTTAATCAGAACCTCGTTTGATTTTAAAATATTTGAAATATGTCTACTTTTCTGCTGATATTGATTGTTTATCCCCCATTACTAGCCAAAATACCGGAAGTGTCCCTTTCAGGGTACAGTTACGCAGATTCATGGGTCTGCGTAATCGCGATAGTATTTTGCATTCTATTCATAGAACCAAGTGCCCGAAATATCAACTTGTAATAGAAATGAAAAGTGGATAGTATATATTTATGAGAAAATTAACAAACATTTTTAGAACTGATAGCATGGTATAAAGGACATTGATATTTATCTAAAAAGTGTCCCGGTTTGGGTACAGTGACAGTAATGGGCCGTTAAGCAAACAGGACTAAGCAAACAGGACTACAAACAACCATTGTATACTGTTTTTTACCCTTAAACACAAAAAAAAATCTGTTTTGTTAATTACTTCAGAGTATCAAGTGTTTTATGTTTTAGGCAAAATACACGAGGTTGTTTTGAGTTTTTACTGATAGAAAGAAGTCTACAGGTGATGTGGTGTATATAAAGTACAAGTATTTGGTGTCTTACAGAGCCAGTGCCTAAACCTGATGAATCGTCATCAGAGGAGGAGGAAAGCGAAAAGGAGGTGGAAGAAGAGATGGTTGCAAAGACTTCAACATTGAGAAATGAATCAACAAGTAACCACATTGACAAAATTGAGGTAAGAAAAACCAGAAATGTATTTGTTCTGTTTCTCCGTTGTCAGCAAGATGACACTATCTGATTGTAGATTGTGACATTACTGTGTTGTTTTCACCATTCTTTCATTATTATTACTAATCCTACAGGGAATAGTATTAGATATCTCCTGTTCCTAGGGGTGTAAGATAGAGACATCACAAGAACTACCAAGTATTAGATATCTCCTGTTCCTAACTTAAGTTCTATTATGATGGACAGCTGAGAAAAGAACATTTTTTATTTTTTTTTCCCATCAAATGTACAAGAAAACTGATTTGCTGTAGGATATGAGTCAGAACATCAACAAGACTTGACTTGAATGAATTTTGGTTTGCCGGATTTTACTTGAAATTTACAATGAACTGTTTTGATTGTGGATTTCAGAAAGCTCACCAAAACAATAACAATACAAGAGCATTGCCGAAGCCATCACCAAAGCCCTCGCCCAAACAGTCGCCCAAGCCCTCGCCCCGCCCACGCGGACAGAAGAAAGACGAACACGTAAGTCTGCATGCAGATGTTGTTCAATTCATATAATGGTCTTCATTACATCAAATTGAAGGCATTACTTTATAAGATGAGAGTCCCATTGTATAGTGTGATTTTATCCCTTGCAGTAATGTTAACAGAGTTATTGCCCTTCTTGTGTTTTGTCATTTTGATAATTGGCACAGCGCCCTCTAAACAACCCAACCAATTTTATTGAAACTTTGTACACATAACCAGTTCACCATGCACTTGTACAAGTTATCTATATATTTTTTTGCTTGCCACTTTTGGCAGTTTTTGCTCATTATGTACTAGCTAGGTCCTTTTGGTTACGTTGTCTGGATATTATATATGACTCATAAGATAATTAATGGATAAATTTTGATTTAAATTCAAATTCAATTTTTTGAGTGAATAACTTTCCCATATGCATGTATTATCAGTAATTTAATTAGATAAGCCTTGAATCTCTTTTCTGTCTTTTATGAAATAACTTTATACTTACACTAGTATGACCAAGAGAAGTTCTTGTTAATGTACTGTAATACACGTAAGAGTGATTTTGTATATTATATATGTTTTATATTATCATTATTCTAGGGTGAGTCATCTGGAAAGTCTGAGGAAGAATCTACCCCAAAGAAAGCTCCTAGGGTAAGTTTTGATGAGGTTCGTGTCGTTTTAATCATCAATTTCATTGTAGAAATTATTTAGACTCTATATGATAAAGATGAAATTTAGCCTAAAAAAACAAGTTTTTGTAGAAGTGAATAAGAAAACATTAAAAACATAAATCAATTCAAATCATAAATCGAGTAAGAATGCCAAGTTATTGGTGTGGTGACATTGCATAATCAAAATAGTAATTTCTACAGTTTTAGTTAAATTGAGTCAACCTTAGCAAGCCTGACATTCAATACACCATTAAAAAGTGCCCAATGTCTTAAAAATGTCATCCTTTCCTGGATCTGGCCTGACTTTAGGATCCGTCTCTTTAACTTAACTTACCGAAGTGTTTGTGTCTATGTTTTTAGATTTTTTTTTTTAATTTTCTGCAATCTTTCTTATGTTCCAAAATTAGCAAGTGCTGAAGGCGCTTATTAGGTTATACACAGTATTTTACAAATGAGGTAAATCATATATGATAAGAACAACAATATACCTATTTCCACACCATTGAAGTTTTCAGGAACTTCCTGAATTACTTCATAAAAAATTATATGAAATCAAATTTTGTTTGTGATTCTCAATTTCTGTGATACAGCTGTACACTGTAGTTCTAATTTTAAGAGAGTAGAAAGAAAATGGGTAGACATTTTGATTGGATTGTTTTATCAAGTCATGGACATGTATGATTAAGTTCAGTCACATCACAAAGCTTTCCAAATGGCTGGGTGTTCAGTTCCAGTAACTCAACGCCCAGGACTAGTACATTTAATGTCAAGGTTGGTTAACATTTAGCAATGTTTAACAACGTAAATATAGATTGGGATAGTCTTAATTGTCAAATCTGCCTGTGGGCCAGTATTCTGAATGAAAAACATTGACAGACTTTCTTTTTAGGTTTTGGTGATAATCTCCTTAGTGCAGAACATTTCACCTTTCATTTTATCTCACATTTCACTTAATATCACATGATCTTGAAACACTCCTTTTTCCCATTAGAGGTATATAATCTTTGTACATGTAGTACGAATATTTTCATGCCATTTTTGCTTACATTACAAGAACTCTTCTATCTCATCCAGAGTTTATCGTCAGCCCCGTTGCCACAGCCACGGAAAGCTCCCCCCAAGGTGGTGGAAGATGATGAGGATGAAGAGGAGGATGAAGAGGAAGAAGAATCTGAGGAGGAGGAGGAGGAGGAAGAGGTCAAACCAGTCAAGGTTTTGCCTCCCACCCCAAAGAAAGATGCAAAGAAGAAGAAAGGTACACAGTACTGTTGTATATTTTTTATCATCAGTGTATTAGTTGAAGCTGTTTTCATGTTTTATACTTTGAATTCATTTATTTTCCTTGTGTGTTGTATGGCTTAATGGGCTAAGAGTATCCACAAAATTAGCATAACTATGCCTCTTGTGAAAGCTCTTTAATAGTATTTAAAAACTTTGTTATTTTCCATTACATATATTGATTAAAAACAAAGTTATTTAAGTATCTATAATGCTTTTTGAGATTTTGTTATTTTTTCTTTTGCAGGAAAGTCCTCAGGTTTTAATGTGTTTAGACGTAGACCTACCGGGTTAACTGACTCAGAAGAGGAAGAAGAAGAAGAAGAGGAAGAGGAGGAGGAAGAAGAAGAAGGAACTGTGAAAAAGGTTGTAAAGACAAAAACTCCAAATGAAGAGGAGAAGAAAAATGAAAAGAAAAAAGATAAGAAGAAAGAAAAAGAAGATAAGATAAAAGAAAAAGAAGATAAGAAAAAAGAAAAAGAAGATAAGAAAAAAGAGAAAGATGATAAGAAAAAGGAGAAAGATAAAAAGAAAGACAAATCAAAAGACAAAGACAAGAAAAAGGGTAAAGATAAGGAGGAAGAAGATGAGGAGGAAGAGGATGAAGAGGAAGAGTTAGAAGAAAAAGGTGCCAAAGCTGAAAAAGAGGAGGAAAAGAATAAGAAAGACAAAGAAAAGGACAAAAAGGACAAAAAAGAAAAGGACAAAAAAGAAAAAGACAAGAAAGATAAGAAAGGGAAGGACAAGGATAAAAAGAAAGGGGATGAAGATGAAGAGGAGGAGGAGGAAAAGGAGGAAGAAGATGTGAAAGAAGAGGGTGTCAAAGCAAAGGATGACAAAAAAGATAAAAAGAAGGAGAAAGATGAGAAAAAGAAGGAGAAAGATGAGAAAAAGAAAGAAAAAGATGACAAGAAAAAAGACAAGGATAAAGATAAGAAAAAAGACAAAAAGAAAGGAAAAGATGAGGAGGAGGAAGTGGAAAAAGAAGATGAAGAAGAAAAGGAAGAAGTAGAAGAAGAGGACAAGAAAGATAAAAAGAAAGGTGAGAAAGTATTCGATGTCTGAAAATTTGTAACACACTGTTGAAAATTTATATACTCAGGGCTTGATTTCCAGATTTCAAATTCAGTGTATTTTAGAAGTAAATGTCGAGTAAGAAACTGTGTGATGATAGGATTTGGTCCCAGGTGAAACCAGGGTTCTCTAATGGGAAATCATTACAATGTCAGAAAAAAATATGTTGTCTGTGTCATTGTTTAATGGTTTAAAAAGCAGTTATTTAGTTAAAACCTGTCGCCTCAAGGTTATGCCAGCTGTGCTGTAAGAGTGGAAACCTTCATTGAATTTGCATTTTAATTGATACAATCAACCTGTATTGCAGTGGTCAGAGGTAAACATTTCCTCTCCACTGATAGTTTGTTAAGTCAAAACAGGAAACTCCTGCAACATGAAAATTTACACTTTTACAATTTACAGTTAAAAGATATTTACAGAAAAGAATGTAAAGATTAAATTTAGTAACTTAGTAACTTACTTAAAACTTAGTAACAAATAGTAACTGACTTATTCCTTAGTAATACATTATAACTGACTTATACCTTAGTAACAAATAGTAACTGACTTATACCTTAGTAACAAATAGTAACTGACTTACACTTTAGTAACATAATTAACTGACTTATTCCTTAGTAACATATAGTAACTGACTTATACCTTAGTAACATGGTAACTGACTTATACCTTAGTAACATATAGTAACTGACTTATACCTAAGTAACAAATAATAACTGACTTATTCCTTAGTAACAAATGGTTACAGACTTATACCTAAGTAACAAATAATAACTGACTTATACCTAAGTAACAAATAATAACTGACTTATTCCTTAGTAACATATAATAACTGACTTATACCTAAGTAACATAGTAACCAACTAACCTTAGTAACATGATAACTAATTGATAATGTAGGACTTGATTTATTCCCTTGAATGTACAATTGTATTACAGTTTTAAATAACCAGTTTTATAAGATGAAAAGAGGTTTTATGAAACAATATGAAACTGTCAATCATGCATTAATGGTCATGAACTAATCAAAATGGTTCTTTTTTAATAATCTAGATAAAAAAGAAACAGACAAGAAGGAAAAAGAAAAGGATAAAAAAGACAAGGATAAGAAAGGAAAGAAGGGAAAAGAGGAAGAAAAAGAGGATGACAAAAAAGAGGTACTTAATGTCATAGACTTAAGATAGTGATTTAAAACCCACAATTGATATTGCAGACTACGGCTAGTGCAAAACATAATGATAAGGGTTTCACATGTATTAAGTTCTAATATAATTGAATAATTGACATCCTTGATTGATTGATTGATTGATTGATTGATTGTGGTTTTATATCTCTGCAATGGGCAAGGTCATATATTATTGTATAAAATACATCTTACCTCTATTTTTTTTTATCACAGCTAAACAAAATTATTTTAACCCTTTCACCCCTGTGTAACTTCAGTAGACTCTACTGTGCATTGGTCAGAAGGAGTCCATTATGGTCTGCAGGGGTGGAAGGGTTGAAGAGACGTATCTAGTTTAAATATATGACATAGTGTTGTAATTGTAATAATGTGATGTATTCATTTATTAACCAATCTGTTACAACATGGACCTGTACCATTTAGGTAAGTTGTATTATATTGGCTGGATGTGTTTTATTATATTTTGTGTTTGACGAAGGCAAACCTGTGGTGTGATACACGTACCTTCATTAGTATTACATTACTTGAAACCTATATGTATAAGCAATCTTTGTAGGACGCAGAGGACAAAGATGAAGAGGATAAGAAGGAGGAGGGCAGTAAAGAGGAGAGCAAGGACAACAATGCAAATAAGGATGGGGTGAAGGAAAAGGTAAGTTGGGCCTGTATGGAGTCGCACAATATCAGGTTAACTATCAGGGAGAAGAAAAAGGTAAGTTGGGCCTGTATGGAGTAGCACAATATCAGCTTAACTATATGTGGGTGATGAAAAAGGTAAGTTGGGCCTGTATGGAGTAGCACAATATCAGCTTAACTATATGTGGGTGATGAAAAAGGTAAGTTGGGCCTGTATGGAGTAGCACAATATCAGCTTAACTATATGTGGGTGATGAAAAAGGTAAGTTAGGCCTGTATGGAGTTGCACAATATCAGGTTAACTGTCAGGGTAAAGGAAAAGGTAAGTTGAGACTGTATGGAGTCGCACAATATCAGGTTAACTGTAAGGGTAAAGGAAAAGCTACGTTGGGCCTGCATGGAGTCGCACAATATCAGGTTAACTGTCAGGGTGAAGGAAAAGGTAAGTTGGGCCTGTATGGAGTAGCACAATATCAGCTTAACTATATGTGGGTGATGAAAAAGGTAAGTTGGGCCTGTATGGAGTCGCACAATATCAGGTTAACTATCAGGGTAAAGTAAAAGGTAAGTTGGGCCTACTATGGAGTCGCACAATATCAGGTTAACTATCAGGGTGAGGAAAAAGGTAAGCTGGGCCTGTATGGAGTCGCACAATATTAGGTTAACTATATGTGAATGAAGAAAAAGGTAAGTTGGGCCTGTATGGAGTCGCACAATATCAGCTTAACTATATGTGGGTGATGAAAAAGGTAAGTTAGGCCTGTATGGAGTTGCACAATATCAGGTTAACTGTCAGGGTGAAGAAAAAGCTAGACAGGGCGTTTATGGGTCACTCATGACGGTAGTACTTGTAGGTAGGTTCTGTAGAGATAACATGATGATAGAATGAAAGAAAAGGTGGATAGGACCCGTGGAGGTCGGCTCAGATCACACTTCCACACTAGATATAAAAGGTATCTAGGTAATAAGGCCCCTATGGTCGGACAATTTAAGACTGAAGAAAAATATAGTCAGGTCAGTAGGATTTACAGAACTAGACTGAAGGGCAAGGAACTTGAAGCCTGTCAGGGTTAACAATATCAGGAAAAAAAAGAAAGACAAGATGTAGGATTTTATGAGACTGAAGGAAAGGTTGCCCGCAGTCAGAGTAACACAGTGTCTGACTGGTGGTATAAAGGAAATGGAGACAAAGTCAGAGTAACACAGTGTCTGACTGGTGGTATAAAGGAAATATGACAGTCTCTCCGTATCACACTGACCAATGGCAGGGAAGATACTGAAGGCAGTCTGTAAGGGTTACTTCACAGCAAAGGAAGATGACTAATAATTAAAATACTAATAAGTAGCTCTAAAACACTGAATTTTTAGTCAAGTTTATTATAAAGAAACTTTTTTTTTTTAAATACTTATTAAAATTGTGTTCATCATATCACCACCTTTACAAATTAAATTTCTAGACAAGATAAATAAAAGTTGGCCATCTTTACATCACAGTAAATCAATACCAAGATATTCCGTCTTTTCGTATTGCAGAGTTATCTGCTCTTGTGAGCAGGTATTGATTGTTTTGTCATTGGTTTGTGAGAGTAACGTCATCAATTTTTGGGAAAACGACGCAATTTTCTCACACAAACCAATGACGTAACAATCAATACCTGCTCACAAGAGAAGATAACTCTGCAATACACAAAGACTGAATATACCACAGGAAAATGGGAAAAAAATGAATTATGGCAAAAAATGGATGTAATGAACATTGTCATACTTATTTATTTATTTTTATTTTTTTGTCTAACAGGACTCTAAATCGTGTGTGGTGATGTGATGGAGAGCCCCAGGATTGTTGACCGTTTACTGCAGAGCTGATGAGGACACCATAGGCTAGTAATTGTGTATGTGATGGAGAGCCCCAGGATTGTTGGCCATTTACTGTAGAGCTGGGGACATTATAGGCTAGTAATTGTGTGTGTATATGCTCTATAGGTAAACCTTTGAACTTTCATCACCTCACAACTCGTAGCTCTGCCAGGAGTCTAGTTACCACCCCACAAACCACAGCTCTACCATGAGAAATCCGGTGTAATGTCAAGTAGGTACTAACTGTCTGGTGATGTCCAAGGTTTGGGCAGACACGTCTTGACCTGTATATATATATATGTGTTAGGCCCAGGAGAATTGACCACAAAGTTACCGGAAATGTCCAAGGTTGAGTCATACACATGTATTGTCAAAGATTGATGTGAATGCTTCTCCAAGCAGAAAGTAAATGGATTAGACTTAAGATATAGACTTTGTAGATGGATTTGAAATTGAGTAAAAAAACCGTTGTGGTTTCAAAGATTTGAACATTTGAATTGAGCTGTGACTGTTTGGAAGGAATGGGTAGTCAAAGGGCTTGTCATTGAACTGTGACCTTTGCCATCGTTAAAGTATGAACAAATGTGAAGGTACTATTGAAAATGATAGAAGAAAAAGCCAAGGTTATTGTGTCTGTGTAGATGGTCGAGTACAACAATGGTCTAGTACAAAAACAACTTTCTAAACCTCTAGGATGGAATATTGCCCTGTACTTGACCTGAGGCCTGAGGAAACATATCCGGAGTGGTCGGTAGGGAGATGACCACTTGTAGCCTCAGCTGTATTAGTGGTCTTTTTGACCGGTCCAAAAAAATATCATTCAGACAGGATTGTTTTTTTTTACCAATTTTTTTTATCTGCTGGTAAAAAAATCTTCAGGAAAGCTTTCTGTCTGAACATGTGCATTCAGAAAAAATATTTAAGTAAGTCAGGTAATTATATTCTATTAGCAAAATAAAAAAAAAAGACCTTTGTCAGACTGAAAACAAGAAAGCTCAATGCATTTCAATAAGTTAAGTCTGAGAGTGATATGAAACTTGTCGATTTTGAAGCTTGTTTTGAGAAATCAAAGTCATATATAGAGTTAATCCGTTACTCATTTTCATTTTTTTTTTTATATGAATTCTTAAATCAAAAAGTTGTCAATTAAAAGTTTATATATAAGGTCTGTAGCATATTTTGTTTAATCAAAATTGTGTTGCAAATGGTATTTTGTATGTATTCAGTGATGTTGTGGTCTAAACAGATTAAAGTCACGTGCACGAGGAAAACAAGAAGTAATATACCCTTTTGTAGTTATCTCCGCATTGAGATCTTTTTTAAATACTGTATCATATTTTTTTGGTACAGTTGGCCTTATGTACATCAGTTAAACTTTTTCGCCCCATGTCTCTCACGGTTGCCGGGGATCAGTACGGCGAGAGAGATATAAACAATTCCTACTGTACACCTTATCTAGATTATCTTGTGAAACATTTTTGTAAATTACAGGAAATGTATTTTGTATTGATGTAATTATAATTAGTTAGAGAGCTACATTTTGCTTACATTTTATTTTATTAGTATTTGATTTTGCATTTATTTTGGTCTAAAATTTGGCATCCGTTGTTAGATCTAAGATGGTTGTGAAACAAATAACACTTAGAATGGTGCTGAAACTGATACCTTTGTATAATAATTTAGGTTACTGTTGGAGTATATAACGGCATAAATATAGATAGTTCTTTTAAAATCAATTTACATTTTATTCCATTATCATGTTAGAAGTTTGAACATGCATTAGATAAATTTAAAATGATATTCAGTAAGTAGAAGATATAAAATAATAGAAAGTTCATGTATTCTATTTGAACAAAACATCCATTTCTCTGAAGTACCACATACACAAAAACATATATTTGTCTGCATAGGGTGTGTCACATTTAACATGAAAAATTCCTATGATAGAATTTTCTAGTTATAAAATGTAAATTTTGATTTTGACTTAATATTTTCCCCTTGTATAAAACTGCCATTTATATGCTTTAAGTAAACATATAGCATCCTCACTTTTAAATTTAAAGCGATTTGAAACATCCTACAAATTTATAAACATCTTCTGTAAGTTGTGTACAAGTCCATTTCCAGTATATGATAAGCAAAACAAGGGTTGAATTCTTATAAAATTGATAAAACACAAATAAGAGGAAAAAAAAAAGGTCTAAGAAATACAGTAAGACTAAAATATTGGATTAATATTTGATTCAGATATTTTTGATAAAAAAAAAATTGGAAACTAAAAAAGGAAGTACCATGTAGATGCACATATAACTTTGTAAACTATATGACTCTGTATTCTGTAATGCAGTTTCATGTGTCAACATTTTATTAAAAGCGATTCTGTGATATTGAATGGACTTAGAATATAGCTATAAATGACAGTGTGAATGAATTGATTTTGCTAGCTATTAGACGTAGCTGTTGCTTAAATTTTTAATTAACCCTTTCAACACTTTAGACCATAATGGACTCATCCATATCAATGCATGGTAGAGTCTACTAAAGTTACAAAGGGGTGAAAGCTTAAGAGTTGAGCATATTTATAATACATCCCAGGAGACCTATTTAAGAAATACTGGAGGTGTTAACCCTTTCACCACTGTAGACCATAATGAACTTATCCAGATCAATGCATGGTAGAGTCTACTAAAGTTACAAAGGGATGAAAGAGTTAATCATTATTGAGTTGAGCATCCATAGACAATGACCTGCCAGGGCACTTTGTTATAAGTACAAATTCACAATTAGTGTGTTCATACTAAGTTTGTTTCAGTGTACTGTATGTATTTACCAGTACTAAACTATGTGTAAACTGAATGTTATTGTAAGGACTAGAAAAGTGCCCTATCAACTGCTTTATCCAGCTGTAGAATTCAATACAAAGACTAGAAGTACATCCCCCATAGGATAAAATCATCTTTTACGATTATAAAATAAATGGTAAAAACATCATGTATTTAATAATATTTATTGTAGATTTAAATTGTGCCCGTGTACATGTAATAATACACATTTGGATATACGTCAATTAATATATTCTCAAAATATACTTTATAATTTCTCCTGAAATAAAGTAGCACTTAAATGAGATACAGATTTCTGGTTTTACCTTGCTAATGAGTTGAAGGTTCTAAAATACTAAAAATCCTTTGTTTTTTTATTTAGAAGACATGTATTTTTTGCATGTAGGATAATGCTTGGTCATTATTATACCTGGTATATGATAAAAAGTTTCTTAAATGGCAACTTACGTATGTTATAGATTAAGATTGTTTACTAGAAGAAGTATAATCTTTTCAGTCGAGAATTTTACAAAAAAAAGTGAAAGGGATGTTATAAATCTCCAAAAAAATGTTTTACTTTTTGACACATTTTACATGTTTCCTGATGATGAATGAGAGAGTCTAATGAAATCTTGAATTGCCCATAAAAGACAGTTGAAAAATTTGCCAACACCCTGTTCTATAAATAGATTGCTATAATATGTATTTTTCTTCATCGCAGTGCAAATATCTTTAGTGTGTGTCCAAAGGATCCTGCTTATAGGCTTTTGATCGTCTGGAGGAAGCCCACAGTTGCTACAGTGACGATTATATATCCCTTTAACCTTTCACCCCTATGTAACTTTAGTAGACTCTACCATGCACTGATCTGGATGAGTCCATTATGGTCTTCAGTGGTGAAAGGGTTAACTTAAGTTTATAACTGCAGATCTCTTGACCTCCCTTCCTCTTGTTTTTTAAATAATTTTTTTCCTTACATAAAATGACTTATGATCCATTTCAATTATTTTGGGGGGAAATGTTGATTTTGAAAAATTTAAATCACCAGTCAAAATTTTGTGTTACTGATGAAAGTATCGAGAAAATCTGGATTTAATCAATTACGAATTCGTTTTGTTATGGTTTTAGAGTTAAGTTAAACAGAGTACTTTTTACATTTGTTTAAATGATATTATTTTTTTTTGCTGTAAGAATTTGTCCTTATTCATGTCGTAATTATGATAACGAAATTGTGAGTTTTGTTTTGTTTGGGGGTTTTTTCAATGAATTATTAAATTACGTTTTGAGAAACAGTACTCCCTGAAATAATTAAGTCATGAGGATAATGATATAATTTTATTAGGAAGGTATTAAAACTTTTTCTCTATTTAAACAGCCATATTACCTCTCCACATGAGATGTTATGTGGTGTTTTGTATGTTGGTTAATTTTGGCTTATTTATCCAAAATAATATTGTAACTGCAAAATGAATTTCCCATCATTCCTTCACAGGAAGTAGAAATCTCCAGTTGTATATGTTACAGCATGTTTTGGTGTCCTCATGGAGTCTGAAGTGGATATTTGAATTTCATTGATCATTCAGTGGCGGATCCAGAAGTTTTTTTGAGCTTCAGAAAACCCCTCCACCATGAAGTATTTTCACCAGTTTCCTCAATTTTCCCCCACATGGAAACACCCCCTGGAAATTTCCTCCCCCCC